TTTCCTCACGATGTTTTTCCTTCACCGTTTGTCAGTGGTGTCTAAATAATCTTAGAAAGTACATATAACTCGGAAAAAGTCACATTGGTACTTGCCGTTGGTAGGTTTCGAACCCGCACCCTCATGCATGAGAAGTGGGCGTCTTAAACCTCCGGGCCACCACGACATCACATGCATATTATTTTTAAGGGCGATAGCCCATGGCCACCTGAAACACCAGAGGCGTTTCATGCGTATTACCGGCCTTTTAGGAATTGGGAATTTGAGGATTATAGGGGATTCGAGGATTGGGGAGACTGGAAAGGGAGGGTAATTGGGCCTCCAGTAACCTCACTCACCTATCGAAACACTACGCAATCGTTGCGCAGTGTTTCGTTGTTTTTCTGTGAGGATGAGGACGTGGTATCGCTCCGGTCGAGCCGACCCATTCGTACCGAAGCATGGCTCTCGCACACTTAAAACGTCTGGAAATTTACTTTTTACTTAATGTCAGTAATTTACACCGGCAGTGCTAGATGTATCTAGAAGTCCGATGGTCATCTAATGAGCACAAACAATGCACTAATTACATATGCGATAACACAAAACAAATTCACGTACGGAATTGTACATGGTAGACAATCTCGAACTGCTAAAGATTCCAATATATATGTATGTAATGAGGTGAATAATAATTAAAACTGACATGATCAGTGGTCACGGGTCTAAAGGGATGACCGCATTGTATTGCGATATTTCAGCACTGCGGAAATAAGGGCGTTTCTAACTGACCAGATAGATAAATTTGTTGTCCTCAAGGTTATTTTCTTTTTCCGTCTCCTTGACCAAATATTGGTATTACATTGTTCTCACATAATTGAACTGAACGAAAGAATGTAACCAAATATTGTATTGTCAACATGATTGAAAAAGAGTAAGCTATGGAGTTTCATGCTCGTTCTTCTCCATAGGAATCTACACTTTGGAACGAGCAAATAGCTTCACTAGAGGACTGACCTACAGATTGACATTTTTTCTTATTATTTAATATTTAAATATTTTGTTTTGACGTTCAAAAGTGCCTTCCTGGTCTAATTGAAATAAACGATTTAGACTTTGACTTTGAATAACTAAGTCAATTCATCATGAATTACCTAGATTCATTATCAACATACATAATATTCAATAGACGCACCACTATCTTAGTAATGTCTACTTACATTACATTAAATATACTTACATTTTCTTGTTAACTTACTTAACTTCATTTGACTGAAGATGTATTCCACTTGGAACTTCACTAGGTACATTGTAAAAAACAAAGTCGCTATCCGCCGTCTGTCTGTCCCTATGTATGCTTAGATCTTTAAAAATACCCAACGGATTTTGATGCGATTTTTTTTATAGATAGAATGATTTTTAAATAAGGGTAATATGTATAATACATTCATATTGCAGTGCGAAGCCGGGGCGGGTCGCTAGTTTATTAATATTTATGTCTTCAAAGTTCATGTTCTAACTTTTTCAAGCATCAAGAATATGTTCCTAAGGCCGTAAAGTGGTCGGAACCAGAATTCTTATTAGGAGTATAAAAAGTCTACCGTAAAGTGAGATCTTCAAAGTGAATCTATAACAGTAACTGTATACAAGAAGATGTTGATGTCTGTCAGCTGTTGGGACCAATTAAATGATGTTATACGTTTGTTTAACGAGCTGCCGAGACGAGCAATGTTGATACAACATCGCAGGATACATGTCATAAACACACGCATCTACTTACTGATTATAACAACCCCGTGTGTATTAGTGAGTAGTGACATAAAAATATATGACTTTCCGTAGGTAACGTGCACTGAATAAGACATAATATCGCTTATTTTGTATCGTCTTACTCTTTCTCCCCAAAAGGTAGACACCGTATGAAGATTTCCTCCTGAAGTTAAATAATAATTCTTGTATAAACTACGCTTGAAAAAAACATTTTCCCGAGTGTAACAAACATTTTATGGAAACCCGCATCAAAATCGGGACTGCCAATTATGAGATAGGTAGTCACGCACAAATATACAAACATACCTATAGGTTATACTGAGAAACTCTTTCTTTACTGAAGTCGTTTAAAAAGAACAGAAGACAGGAAGGAGTGCCAGACTCTTACTGCTTATTCTGTGCTCTTACTGACTAAAAACAACCCTGTTCCTACTTTTACTTCGAGCCAGAGCCCCGGTAACCTTCATGGTAGTCATGTTCCAGTTGCTTTAGGACGACAAATCGACAGTCTTTTTGTAATACCATGTGCACCAATACTAGAGCTGTAAATATAAATCAATATTACTGAGCTTTACGAGTAGCGTTGTTATTGTGAGCAACAGTGGCTCGTTAGTGTGTAGCCAATGAAGCAGGCAATTGACAATAATAGCAGTAGGCTATAATTGAAAATATTCAATGAGCGGAGCCGGGCTGGCCCTTTGGCCTTTGCTGTTGACTGTCCGGATTTTACCAGGGACAGTTCTCATATCAAGAATATTCATATTTTCCTATTAGGAACTCTCTCAAAAAAACAGTCGTTTCAGTTTCAAGAAATATATTAGCTAGTTAAATATTAGCTATAGCTATTGGCTAGCTAGCTAGTGAAATACAGGATATCCTAGTTTAAGAGGCAGGGTTACTATAATTCTGTACCCAAATCTTTGCAACAAACTGTAATGCCTAAAATTAGTCTACCCACTTGTTATGTCTACTTATGTACATTTCTGTAACTTTTTGCTAAATAAAACTTATTATTATTAGTTGTCGAATAGACTTCCCTAAAAAGCCCCAGGGTACCTGCTTAAAGTAACCTTGTGTTTAATAGATATCTTAGCGGACTTCTACATCAGTTTGATCTGATTAATTGTCAAAAATAGTGTTCACATTTTAGTGGGTATCTTAAGTAGGTAACCTATTAAATTTTGCTGTTCGCTTCAGTTTTGTGAGTGTGACAAAGATATGCAGTTATTGATAAAAGTAATCTTATCGTAAATACACAACTTTCTTGCAATACGCAGTACCCAGCTATATCTGGTATTTCTAGTTCCTTTAACAAAGCTTTAATTTTCTATAAGGTATAGTTCGATGGTATCTATTTGCCTGTGGTCCGTGCATGAGCAGCTAGTTTAATAGACTGCAACCAAATCTGTCGCTAGATAAAAACCGGACGTTTGTATTAAATTATCGTAGATCCCTTGACTTCCGTCAGCTCTCAGCTCACATAAACCAGTAAAAAAAATTCCACGGGTCTCTTTAGTTATGTTATCTGACCATGTGGCAGTACTAAAGTAAATAGGTAACTAGTTACCTACTTAAGTATCTATTTACCTGTTGAGTACTTAGGTACTTGATTATTTTCTCTTTTTTTAAATATGTTGTTGTTTAAATTGGTCTGAGCATATTTCTTTTGGTATTGGCAATTAGTGGGTGATGCGTCAAATGCATAGGTATACATATCCACCTGTCTACTCGTTCGCGAATAATAAGCGTGGTCATAGTGTATTTTGTCATGTCTCTATTTTGCTATTAAATCAACATTTTTGTTTGTTAGCTGTAGCGATTCACAATGAACCAAGTAAGACGATCGAGAAGAATTTACGTTCAATTGACGATTTAAATTATTTGCCCTAGATAAGGGACACGCATCGCCACGGCCCATATTGAAGCACGCTAATCTAACACATTCAAGATTCATGCGTGTAGATCATGATACACAGATGACAATCGAAATCGATTGCGAATTGACGTCTCTTGTGATAACAATTGACCTTCATGTAATCGCTACAACCGTACCCGTATAGTGGTTATTAATCATAGTGTTATCAACAATTTTTAAACTTAACTGATTACAAACGCATACTATTTTATTATTCAGGGTTAATCCGCTCCTAAGGATACCCAATCTTTGGACTAAACTGATATTTTGATACGTTTTAACCGACTTCAAAAAAAGGAGGAGTTTCTCAATTCGACCGTATATATGCTTTTTTTATGTTTGTTCGCCGATATCTCCGTTATTTAAGAACCGATTTTGAAAATTATTTTTTTGTTGGAAAGGAGATAGTCCCAGAATGGTCCCATGATAAGGAAATCAGGATCTGATGGAAGACTTCTAACCTATCAGTGGGTATGTAAGCTATAAGTACGTATGACCAATAATAGTTATCTTTTTTCCTTTTTAGTTTTTACTTTTCGTTTGTCATTAGTTTTTGAAGTCGGTTTTTTTAAACGCAGTGTTTTAATTTTTTATTTCGGTTTACCTACCAATACTTCTTAAACCTTCTAAAACTTCAATGATAAGTCTAATCTTTAATAATTATCCCAGTGTCAAAGTACGCCAAATTACAATTCCTTTTGAAAAAAAATCGTTACTGTTTTCTGGTAACACCCAGTGCATGTCAATGGGTAACACAGGTAACACTAGTCACTAATTTTTAAGACAATTTTTATTCAATTTGTTTTTCTGTCACACTTAAATCGTTCACATTCATTTAGTGTTGCCAACTCTTAAAAAATGTGGATACCCATTATAACATTATTTTTTGTTAAGTTTAGTAGTTTGGTAGACCGATAAGAAGAAAATAGGCTGAACACAAATAAATACGTACTCACCAACATACGTCCTATAAATTCTTTATTTTCAGGTAAAAAAATTGTAGTCAATATCTTAAATAGCAACATCGTGTAAAATTATTCAGTGTAAGACGTCAAAATCAAAGTACGTCAACGTCAAGTACATTGGCATTTTATTTGTTATGTTCGTTCCTTATCGTTCTTCGTTCACATTGAGATCATCAATTCATCATTCAACTTTCACATTCAAGTCAAGTCTCTTGAATTTGCGAGTGCGACGTAGTAATTCGTAGTCGATATCGTAGTTTATTTATTGAAATATGTTTCTGAGACATAAAATTGAAGTTAATTGAAAGAAAATAACTAAATAATATCCATGTAGAATCGAAATAAACCTACAAAACTCTGTAAAATTCAAGATGGAAATCGATGAAACTCAACATGTTGGCGAAAACGGCGATATTTTCATTCACCGTTTAAAAGTACTAACTGACGAAGAAAAACAACGTTTGGAAGCACAGAACACTAGGATTATACCAGAAGCCAAAGCTGCACGTTTAGAAAAAGAAGCAAAACGTCATTGGGACATATTTTACAAGAGAAATGAAACCAAATTCTTCAAGGACCGGCATTGGACCACACGTGAGTTTCAAGAGCTTATAAACTTCGAGCCGGATGATAAGATCACGTTTCTAGAACTAGGATGTGGCGTGGGCAATATGATATTCCCGCTAGTCGAGGAAGGTTTCTCCAATTTCCATTTCTATGCGTGTGACTTTTCACCACGTGCAGTGGAGTTTGTAAAGGCCAACAAATTGTTTGACGAGAGCCGCATGAAAGCTTTTTGCGCTGATCTTACCACTGATGATTTATTTGAGAATGTAGAAGAAGGCTGTGTGGATATAGCTAGTCTGATATTCGTATTATCTGCAATCCACCCGGACTCGTGGTCGCAAGTAGCCAAGGTCGCGTACCGGGCGCTTCGTCCCGGGGGCGTATTGTTGTTTCGCGACTATGGCCGATATGATATGGCGCAGCTACGATTTAAGCCTGGACACAAGATCGCTGATAATTTCTACATGAGGCAAGATGGGACCAGGTACTTATCATACTATCTAAGGACCACATGTTTTAATGTGTACTTGTTTTAACTATGTATTCATAACATATTCCTTGCTCACAGAAGTTACTACTTCACGGAGGAAGAGCTGCAGAAGGTTTTCGCTGATGCTGGGTTTGAGATCCTCATGAACACTTATGTACAACGCCGGACTGTCAACTTCAAAGAGGGAATTGATGTACCTCGCATTTTTGTCCAGGGAAAATATAGAAAGCCCGCTAAAGGTAAGATATTATAGAAACTACTAAAAGATTGACTAGTATCTAAGAGCAACAAATAAAAAAGGCTAATTATACCATATGCTCGTTAAAAGTAATTCTACATGATGATAAGTGCTAACCATTGAAAAACCATGATCTTGCATGTATATTAGCTCTAGCTGAACACAATACAAAGTGACCACATTTTCTCTAAATTGTTGGGGACTACTTTTTGAAGAGATTTTTTATTGTTCCAGGTTGAAACAGTGTCTGCAATCATGAAATTGCAATGGAAATATAAGTGGTAAGTTTTATTATCTATGTAAAATGGGTTTAGTCCACATTGATAAGCGAAGTACGACTGTACCATGGTTGGGATAAAGAATCTACTAAACTACCATCTAAATTCACATTTTGCATGTGTTTCGCTTTCATTTAACTTGGAATAATTTAGAAGGAAATTCATGTGAATGTGGTTTTTCTATGGTGCAGTCATTTGCTTTGGACCATGTGACTGTTACCGTTCCTAACCTAAAACCACCGAAGTCGCACTCCTAACAAATGATGACAGCGCAGTGCAGCTGAAAACCTTCAGTTGCCTTGCAACGGGCTTTTCTAGCATAGGGAAACCTTTTTGGACTTAATTTAAAACTAAATTTTTTATTCATTAATTAAATAGCTGGTATTTGCAGCCAGCTTTTCGTTTTTCAAAATTGTAGCATAGGGCTGCCTGTTGTGAGGTCTGATGCAATAGCTAATGCTTTATAAGCATACTGAATCACCACTTTATAGTTCATAAATACAGATTTTTTAACCATCATATTAACCATATCTTTTCTATTGTCAACAGGTTTGATTAATGAGCTCTACAATGGAGTCAGAATCATGGTGAGTAAAACATTATTTTCAAAATTAAAACTGTTCTAGATTAAATTGTATTGTTTGACATGCTACCTTTTGGCAAATACTGGTCTGAATTTAAACATTATCATAATAGTTACTTGGTAAATGTAATTTATAAATTATTTCAGAAAGCTAGTTTCATTATGAATATCTAAATGATGACTTCATAGTTCATCTGAACGCTCTGATGTACACACATTTATGTCTTTCGCTCCTATCTGACTGAACCTAGTAGATTATCTTATACACAAAAATTACTATTTAACATTAATCTAGTGTTTTCATTTTACAGATTTTCTGATCATTCAAGAAAAACAGGACTGCTGGTTCCATGTGACTTAATATAAAAGATAGGTAAGAGAGTCCATTTAATGTATCATTAGTTTATTACTTAACTGTTAAATATATAGTCTCAATAACCTAGCTGTCTAAATTGTCTACTAGAAATAGAATTTAGACATTGTTTTTATTCTATGTTTAGTAGGATTACTAGTTAGACCTAGTTTCACTGACGGACTGACTGACAGACTATTGTTTATTTTGTATTTGCTGACGTTTCAAAAGTACCAAACTGTGGTTTAATTGAAATAAATTTTTGACTTTATTTCCACTATCTAAGAATTTATTCAGTCTCAAACGCATAGGTTATTGAAACACAAGTTTCAATTAAAAACTCTTTAAATGATGACTTCATAGTTCATCTGAATGCTTTGATGTACACACATTTATGTCTTTCGCTCCTATCTGATGATATAGGTACTTACCAGATTCCAATCACACAATATTTACAACTAAATATTAATATAGTTATTTTATTTTACAGATCATATGAGAAAGATCATCAACCGAGTCTGCAATTTATAAAATGAACAAGGTATGGCATTACTAATCTTCTCTTTTAAATATAATATTTGTAAAATAATTCTAAATGATGACTTCATAGTTCATCTGAACACTTTGATGTACACACTTTTATGTCTTTCGCTCCTATCTGACAAAATTTACTAAACAAAATTAAATAAAACTCATAAACCATTTGTTTTAATAGCTTCATCTTTTGTTACAGGAGAAAGAATAGTCATGAATTAACTGTAATAGTTGCTGAAAAGAAACTTCTGATAAGGTAAGAATTTCAATATAATTAGAGTAATTTAAATCATTGACACTCAAATGATGATTTCAGATAGGGACATCTGATTATAATGCTGTTACCATAACTATCCTCACTGATGTAAATACTAAAATATATTCAGTTTTTACCACATTTCTCTTTTGTTCACAAGGTGTTTCTATTGTTACAGATATCCTGTACACTAATGGATGGATACTTCCTAAATATATACAAGTTGAATGTGAGTAATCTGTGCCATATTATCATATGTTGGCATATCTTACTAACCAACTGTAATGAATTTTCAAAATAATATACATAGGCAGTGGTGCCCCACACTCAAAAATTTGTGGATATTAAACTGTCAAACACCAAGCGGTCACCGGTGACCGCGACCTATTGTTCTTTAATTGTGTCTATAAAACCGGTACTCGACGAGTTAATCATAACAGCATGGACACCATATTGAGAATTGTCACTTTCTGTGGCCTAAATACTGTAATTTTACAATGATGACCCGACCTTCAGGTCTCCCTCGTCAGAGTGAACCCAATCTATCATGTTGACCACCAAACACGTCTGAGTTGTACTACTACAAGCCTCAAATACAAATATTCACAAAACCTATGATAATATACTAAGAGACTTGTTTTCTATTGTTCTCAGGTATACAGCTTACTTGCAGTAGAAATGTGAACCTTATTGGCTGTAAATTTATTGAGGTGAGTTCCAAGATTAAAATATTGTGAATTTTATTATTGCTGTATGTTAACTAGTTTGAAATGGTTTCCTTTTTTTTTATGGCATAAGCTGTTAAACGAGCAGAGGGATCACCTGATGGTAAGCAATTGGCGTCGGCCATGGACACCTGGAACACCAGAGGCGTTACAAGTGCGTTACCGGCCTTTTGGGGATTAGGAGTTTGAGGATCGTTGGGGATTCATCGATTGGGGAAAGGGAGGGTAATTGGGCGTCCGGTAACCTCACTCACACGACGGAACACAACGCAAGCGTTGCTTCACGTCGGTTTTCTGTGAGGCCGTGGTATCACTCCGGTCGAGCCAGCCCATTCGTGCCGAAGCATGGCTCTCCCACACTTTCCTGGTTCTAGTTTGTCTTAAAAACCTACTAGTAACACAAAATATTCCTATTTTGTCTACTTTTATTTACAATGATGACCCGACCTTCAGGTCTCCCTCGTCAGAGTGAACCCAATTTATCATGTTGACTACCTAACACGTCTGAGTTATATACAGAAGCTATTAACATGTCAATTTTATTGTGACACACTATTAAATAATGTTTGTCTTCTTCCACAGAACTGAGAAGTTGGGAAGAGAAAGAACATTGGAAATGAAAATCCATTCAAAGAAGGTAATTGATTTTATTTACTTACTACTTTTTGGAACATATTAATACAGTATTTACTTTAGTAATTTTGGACTTTGCCAAATATTTAACTTCACTGTTACAATTGAATGATGATTTCAGATAGGGACATCTGATACATAATGCTGTTACCATAACTATCCTCACTGACTATTCTATCTTTAAAATATTTCGTTCATCTAAGTTAGCTAATGTTCTTAATAAATCCTTTATTTCTTTAGGAGCTGGATCAGTGATGTCATACAAGCCATGAGAAAAGAAGCCTTAGATAAGAAGTAAGTTTTATATTACATAAACATCTGCCATAAGACATTGTTACATACATAATTTATTAAGAAGTTAAAGCATAATTACAATGATGACCCGACCTTCAGGTCTCCCTCGTCAGAGTGAACCCAATCTATCATGTTGACTACCTTACACGTCTGAGTTTTATTATCTCAAACAAATAAACTCAAACTTAGTATACATGTATACTAACAAGACTACTTTTATTGTTCCCAGGAATATCTTTGGATAGCAACATCTGATTAGGAAAACTAAGAAAAAAAACTTAAAAGGTGAGTTTAAAATCAATATGAATTTGATTTGTATGTTTTTGCTTTAATCAGCTTATAAAATACAATAGAATTGTTCGTGTATGGACTGTTTAACAAGAATCTATCTCCCTATGCCAAAACTTAGTTTCATTACAATTTACAAAGATAGATTATCTATTAAAATTAAGATCGCTCCAATTATTAGCAGATCTTTTAATTACAATGATGACCCGACCTTCAGGTCTCCCTCGTCAGAGTGAACCCAATCTATCATGTTGACTACCTAACACGTCTGAGTTACTACATAAAAAAACATTAATATTTTTTACTTGTAATAAAATGTTTTAATAGATTTTGTTATTGTTTTAGCTGGTGAATATCACAAGTTCCAGTGGCAAGTGGCACATTGAAGACTCTCTTAAAAAGGTGGGTTAGTAATTTGTACTTATCATGGCAATAAGTCAATCATCATTCATTTTTATTGTTTCCAATTGAGAGTAATCTGTTAAATTGATTTTATTTGCATTTGAAATTAATGGAATAGAATTATGTGTGCTTACAAAGCACACAGTCATGATTAGGCATTAAATCGAGAAAGGAGAATGGCAGGTTTGTATGGAAGTTTTGTACCGCTATAAAATTTTGTATTAGTCATTGTTTTAACCAAGTGAATAGTCTGAACGATAGATATTTTTATTATGAAGTTTAGAAAAAAATTACATATTTTTAGAAGTTGGGGTTCAAAAGTTATTTTACTTTGAAAATGTGCAAAAGGTATGTTAAGGTGGTACCACACTTGACATTGCGTAGTCGCTTCATTTGTCCAAATATTTGTAGACTTCGTACAAATGGCGTCCAAATAGTATCTCTATATGTAATGGCGTGCAAATATATAGCAAACAAAGAAGAATAAACCCTCCAAACATGTTCTTTTTTGGCCGAACACAACAAATACGCAACGTCAAGTGTAGAGCCACCGTAAGCAAAATATCTATTACAAATGACAGATGACAGTTAACTGAAAAATGTCAATGTGCTCTCATGTGGTTGTTTATTTACAAAAAACAAAAATCTAAAAATACTGCTCGCTACTCAAGTGACTATTACACTTTGTATTATTAGAAAGAAAGAAAGAAAGAAAAACCATTTATTTTGCTACGACACACAACAAGAATTTAGAAACCCAAAAAATAACCTATGGTGCGTCGCAGCGCAAAAGGCAATTAGGAATGATCCTGTTAATTCAGCAAGCATGATGCACCTATAGAGTTTTAAAGAGTATGCCTCACAATCTTTTTCATTTCTTAGGTGCCTACGAAAATGCAAATTCATAATGTAAGCGACTGTCATTGGGTAGAAGGCCTACATTTAGCAGTGGAAGTCTTGTGGCGGATATGATAAAACTAATGTCTCACTTCACTTTGAATCTTGCAGGTAGATAGTCTCAAGGGTCTCAAGTTAATTTGATTTAAACTTAGCTTAGCTCTTTGAGAAAGTATTTCTTCTGAAAACTGGTTGCTTAGCACGCATGTAAGGATTAATTTCTAATAAGTAAGTCAAATTAGTAGAATCATCAACATTTTCATCATTAAGTCTATAAGTGGCCACTGCTGACCGAAGCCTCTTCTCGCATGGAGGTTTGAGCATTAATCACCATACTAGCTCAATGTGGGTTGGTAATTCAAACTTATAATAAGAAATTATAAGCCCATGTTTCCTCACAATGTTTTCCTTCACCATTTGTCAGCAGTGCCTTTGTACTTTCTTAGATTATTGAATATACCAATAACTCGGAAAAAAGACACATTGGACAAAAGGTACTTTGCCGTTGGTAGGTTTCGAACCCGCACTCTCATGCATGAGAAGCGGGCTTCTTAAACGTCTGGGCCACCACATTACAACTAAAGAAAATGTAAAATGAAAATGAACATTTAAGGTATAAAACTAAAGCTATCTAAATTAAATATGGCATTTATTTTATAGATTGATTCTTAAAATCACTTTTATCAAGATGGAATATATAGTTACTTACTAGGTTAAAATAAAACAAATGTATTATTTTCAAATACTTTTATTTCATTGTATTCAGGTTGTTTCTAGGAGAACTTCATCTAAAAAGAGAACAGGCCGTGTCATAGGTACAGCAGACATCAATTGCTGATATCTGTAAACAAGTAAGATAACTGTAAATAAAGTAAACAAAAGTACATTTTTTTCCTTTAGTTTTATATGTTATAATAATAAGTCTGATTCCCTATCTTAAAATGGAAAAGATAAAAATAAATATTTGATTACATTACTTCATTTTATAACATTTATTATAGTTATTCGTATAACACAGATCATAGGAGCTCAAACAGCATGCTAATTAATAAATTATAATTATAACATGAGTATAAACCTATTAGAAACCGCTTATATACTCCACATAGATACATAATTATGTAGGTACATTATATTGAGAATGCATACCTGTTGAAGCTTTGAGAGCCGAACAACATCATCCGGCCTCATCTGTTCTACAAATGGCAATGTTAAAGTGAGGCTTAGTCCATGTTTACATAATACATTACTTCCTGATAGTGAACACTGTGAGGTGGTATGTCAGGTTGTGGTTTTATAGTTTCGACTCTTGTACGGTCTCTCAGTCAGTATGGAACATGATCTTCATCATGGGAAGTAAGCTAAAATAAGTAATATTATTAGAATATGATATTGACTTTAGATTACACTGTATATAGATAATAGTATGGTTAAATTATGCTTTATTACCTCTTGTGGCTGAATCCAATCAAATACTATATGAGCCAGTCTTTACTCCTGTTTGTTGGCGCCTTCAATTAAAACCCTGCGTCACCTTATCATTGCAATGAATCACCCATATACGACACAAACATGCCAGTGACCAATTTGTTTGCTGGACATACTTTCAGCAACATCCTGATACATTGCTAATTGCCAGCAAGCATTGCAAATATGGTCGGTAGGAGACATAAACATAAAACATAAACATAACATCACGCCTTTTATCCCCGAAGGGGTAGGCAGAGGTGCACATTATGCCACTGTACAATGTAACACCCACTTTTCACTATTTATGTTATGAGTCCCATGTAATAGGGGGTGAGCCTATTGCCATATACCGGGCACAATTCCAGACTCCGTGCTACTACTGAGAATTTTTTTAAAACTCAGTAATACTTTGCCCGACCCGGGAATCGAACCCGAGACCCCTTGCCCGGCAGTCGCACTTGCGACCACTCGGCCAACGAGGCAGTCAAATAAGTGTCTTTTCGCAATTGTCACAACAATGATTCCAATAATACCAATTTGGGCTACGGAGGAACGGTTGCCAAACTCAACGTATCACCAGATGAATAAAATAACTTCAAATTCAACAAACACATCTTATCATCGCATTTGAAACAAACAGCAATGCGCCAGTATTGACAAATTAATTGTCAATGTCATCAAGACAAATGCCAGTTCAACATTGCCATAATATTCAAGTTTGTTAAAATGTTAATTATCATTAATAATCCATGTAAACGTAGATTTAGATTGGATGTAGATTTTTATATTTACTTATAAAAATGTTTGAAATGGAAAGGAAAATATTTCATTGATAGATATTAAAATAAATGAGTTTATGAAATAGCGAAATTCAATATGCTCTGATTTCATCTTTACGCATGGCAACTTTGTAAACGTCAATCGCGGTTCGTTTTACGTATAGTGGATTGATTTTTATCATTATTGAATATCAGTTTTTCTAGGGTTTCCCAAGTTTTAAAAATCTATTAAATATGCTAACATAACGTATTTAGGAGGTTCTATAATGACCCAATTTTTTAATGACAAATCTTTTTTTAGCGAAGCGGTACAAAATCTGCCGTTCTCCTTTCAACAATATTTATACCTTTTCGAGTGTATCAAAAGTACTGATGTATGCCTGTCTCATCCTATGGGAATGCAGTGCCTTAAAGTCGCATTCCGTAAATTGGGACAGAGATGGTTGTGGTCAAAACTGCCGGGGACGACACAACGATGCCGCCTCGGTTATATAGATGCACTACATTCATTCCTATAAATATCCTGCATTATTTACGCCCGAATACTTAAAGTTTTACTCTATTTTAAGTAAAGTTGTAATTAAATAGCGTGTCATTTTACAAAGAAATTGTAGTGACAGAACTTTACCCGCGACTTAAAATTGAGTGGAGTTTGAGTATTTCAGTGTGAAGCTTTATTTTGAGAGGATTTACTAAAATTTTGTTTGTTTTTTGTTCTAGGTATTTGTAATTTGGCATCATCAGCAATCATGAGGTTAAGCAAGGCAGAAGATCCACGAAAACCTAACTTTGTATTGAGCTAGGCATGTGTTTATTTATAAACAAGATGATAAGATAAAGCAATAAATGTTATTATTATGAAAAAATAACTTTTATTTTATAAAAGTATGAACCCAATTCCTACATTATAATTTAAGCGGTCGTACAAATTACAAAACCTGCGATGCGGCGTCGCATCGCAAAAATGTTCGAGCTCCCTCTACGCATCGCAAGAACTTGCGAATTGATTCGCAACTTGCATCAGTCATCTACCGAAAATCTTCATTTCTTTTTCCTGTATCTCTACACTTCTTTACGATCCATGTGACGACCTAGTTTCCCATTTAAAATACGATTAGTACGGTTGACGGTCGTCGAAGGAATAATCACCCTGGGAGACACCTTGTCGCACGATTTCGCATCGTAATTTTTTGCATTGCTAACGAGCCCTTAATACCACACCAAGTATGAAAAGAGTATCCATCAGTATAGTGGCCAAACGTCTTCACATCAAATATATTTTTTTAATAAAAATAAATTTCGAAGACAATCATTTATGAATAATCGAGGGATTATTTTTTTTTTTTAAGGGGGGAAAGTCATCGAATGACTGCTCCCGCCTGGGTGAGGCGGAAGGGAGTGTCAGACTCTTACTGACTAGAAACCACCCCGTTCCTTCTCCTGCACGTCGAGCCGGAGCCCCGGTTACCCGTTAGGTTCTCCGCGACATAATCGAGGGATAGCAAGGATAAATGTGACCTATTTACTGTCCAGGGTTCGATTCCCGAGGCGGTTAAATTACTACGGCATTAGGCTTGCATCTCTTCTAAATATAATAGGAATCATGATAAGCGAATAGCTCATGCATAGCTATACCTAATAGTTGTCGCGGACAACCTAACGGGTAACCGGGGCTCCGGCTCGACGTGCAGGAGAAGGAACGGGGTGGTTTTTAGTCAGTAACAGTCTGACAGTCCCTTCCGCCTCACCCAGGCGGGAGCAGTCATTCGATGATTTTCCCCCCTTAAAAAAAAAATACCTAATAGTTCTCTACTCTTTTGTCGTGTAGGTGCACTTCAGCATGGGCATATTTTTATATTGTGAAGACTTCAAGAGATTACAAAAGTTAAGCTTCTCCTATACTTTTTTACACCTGTAGTCCACCGGTTTAATATTCGGAGATCTAAGTATAAGCAGTAATTATTTCAATAAATAATCGCTATACCTAATTAGGTCCTTTTGAAACGTCAATCAAAAATGTAATGGTCCGCCCGCCTGAGTGAAGCGAGGATTTAGACTAGGCTCACTTCCAGCTAAGGTCAATCCCACGCTGTCTATCGGTCACCGAATACATCTACAGCCTTCAGAGGGTGTAACACTAACGCTAGAGGAGTTAAAATGATTTTGGCTAAGAATTCTAGTTTTTTGTTACATTTCGGTTTAGATCTGTACTAAAAACTGAGTCAGAGTAGACTCATTAATTCTGCCCTAAATCTTCATCCATACACCTAACATTTTCGGTGACCGAAATTTATGGAAGTGGGCACATTTCACTCAACCCCCAAGGCCATTCTAACCCTGTCCATCAATCAGGAAATATATTTTTACAGGGGGTAAACCATTCAAAAATTTGGTTCTTTTTGGCTTTTTTTAATCATCGTATGACTGCTATCGGCCTGGGTGAGGTGGGAGGGAGTGTCAGACTCTTACTGACTAAAAACCACCCCGTTCCTTCTCCTGCACACGTCGAGCCGGAGCCCCGGTTACCCGTTAGGTTCTCCGCGACTTCTTTTTTGGCTAGGACTAGGTTTTCGAGATATTTGGAATTATAAAGGGTATGTTGATTATAATTTATGTTATTAAATAAAATACCTGTTACTCTTACAGAATACTTTATTTGTTTTACACTTAAGACATAAGAAGATAACAATATTTTTATAAGAAGAACTTTCTTCTGGATGTTTCCATTTGGTGTCGCCTGCCTGCAATGATCCACTCGTAGTCGCCACGCTTGGAGTCGAAGGTTCCTTGCTGCAGGGAGATCAGCTTCAAAGTGAAGCGAGGTCCTAATTCCCGCAATTTAGCACGTTTGCCATCCGAAGTGAACTCGTACCTGAAGGAAATTAAAGAGTGTTTATAATTCCGAAAAAAAAAATGCTTTTTTAAGTGAGATAGAATTCCAATTCTTCTGAATTACCTAATAAATTAATTCTAACATAACATCAAGCTTTAAATGCCTAAAAGAGATAGGGGCAGAGTAGTCAGAAGTGCAGTGTACCTGCTACCCATATTAAATTGCTATTTATAACTAAATAAATACATAAATTACCTATAAAAAACACTTTACTAGTTATAACAATAAGACTTGTATAAAAGTAGTGAATTACTGAATTTTGGTTAACAAATCAAAGAGGTTAACTTTTCCCAACTGTACTCTAAATCCCTTGTTCAGCAGTTAATAGTATCAAGTAGTACTGTAATCCAAACCCACCTATGATGTCTAAAGAATATGTAGTCTCGTTGATTGTGGAAGGTGACGGCGCGTCGGCCGCGGAACTGGGGCTCGTAGTGGAACAGAGCGCCCAGCATGCGACCCACCGTCAAACCCAGCCGCGTGCTAAAGTTGTTCAGAATCACCTGCCAATGGAAATATAAAAACTGTGTTATCACTATATCCGTTTTCATAGTTATTTTCAAACAAAATAAAGGTTGACAGAACCACACAATTGTGTGGTCTTTTGTTTATGTCTGGTTTCTAAGGGACCTGACTAAACAGGGTACTCCTAATATGGACTGCTTGTAAAGAAAATTACTTTTTACTTGGAACCCAAACAAATACCTTTTAGGAAACATATAAAGTCACAACAGTAATTAATTTCACACCATTACAAATGGAATTGTAACTAAACTCAAATTTATTGTAAAGTCTGGCACACAATAAGCATAATTTTATTATTTTGTTGAATTACCTCAGGTCTATGTGTTGTAATTTCTTTATAATCTTTTCTAAGCTCAGGTGTGATCTTGCAGCTGGACAGTCGAAAATGAGCAGTCGGTCCATTAGGCAGGTGGATCAGCAGGAAACCATTGGGCTGCTTCTGATTTTCATTGACTATTATCACATCTGTTACACTCTCACGAATTGCTGATTGGACAATGCGCTTTACTGAAGATCTGAAATAAAATATGACAAAATTAAGTGTGCAGTTCTGTTGTTAAGTTTATTTACGTAAGCTGTACAATGTTAAATTGACAAGAAAAAAAATAGTTATTGAACTCTATATCAAACCTACTGCACATAGGTACTTTTACATAACGTATACAGATTACAGAAATACTTGTAATGGAACATAAAAGCATTTAATGCAATTGATTACCAGTTGCCAGGTACATACATAATAAGACTTCAGCTTCAGGCAAGATATTTTTTAACTATCTTGAATAAAACTACTTAGTTTCTTACCTTTGTCTGTACCTAGATATAGAATTAGGTATAATTCTACACAACTCTTTGCCAAATATCCTGGTTTTGTTGTGTGGGTTGTCCGAGTATGTGATCAGTACTTTTGGTTCATATGAATTCTCATAGTATGATGATAATTCATCTAATTCCATATCCTTTTGTGCCTGGAATTTAATACCTTAGAATAAGCAAAATATAACACACAAATGATTTAAAGTAAACTTTATATGATTAAGTAATGTCCATATTACAATTCTGCATAACTAAATTAATATGTACCTATTTAATATACTTAATGGAATAATACCGAACTTATGAAGGAAACTGACTATGACTAAAACAGCATTAGATCATCCTAACATAGGAAATAAGAAATTTGATTGGTTCTTCAACATTTTTGTTTATAACAAAAATATGTCTTAAACAATATTATTTAGCAATCATTTGTAGGGAAAGAAGCAATTTCATTGTGCAATAAACAGAATTTCCCGTTTCTAACCTCCAATTTCTCTTCGTCGTCAACATTAACGAGCATCGTCTCATCTTTCTCGCGGAGAGATTCCAACGTGTGCGGGACCTTCTTAGGCACATCATCACCTTCTTGCTTCTTCTCCAACTTACGCCTAAAACACCACGATGTTAGAACAAATCGTCACAAACAGTAAACAGACGTGTTTATAACCAAACTTACTTTTTCTTGTCTTTTCCACGAGCCATTTTGATTTATTGTGTAGACGAAACTTAAATGACAATTGCTTTTTATAATAATACAATTTCTTGGGTAAATAACTAATATTTTAGAACTATTTCAACTATTTGTGTACGTTCATGTGCAACATGCTGCTTTAAAAGTTGACAGTTGTTTTGACATTTGACAATGACAACAATGATAAATGACAGCTTCACAGATAACGAATATTTATGAAACCCGAAGGAATGACTGAACGTTTGAATTCTGTTCTGAAATTAACGTTCAATAAAAATGTTATTCATTTCAATGGTTTGAAGGTAGGTTTTCTTCATCACTATCTAAACAATCATCATCACCGTCAACAAGATTCCATAAAGTTCTCTTTTGGGCTATAGCCCTCCTCTACATAACGGATTTCGAAGGTCTCTAAAGTACCCTTGGAAATAAGGACATCTGCTGGTAAAGTGGTAACCCATAAGGGACGTTATGTCCGCATTTTTTCAACGTCCTTGACTTCCACTTGGAATGTGATTTATGTATATTTCAGTCTGGTAACATACTTCCATATAAGTTTCCATACTTCACACATTCAGCTAAATAGCATAAAACACTTGCTTTACCCTGTTTATTCATAGATATATGAATATAATATCATCAATTTTATAAGTTTATTACCTATATACATTATGTTACTCAAGTAGTTAAATAAAAGATCATGAATATACATTTTCATTTCCTATATTTATTAAAATAATTAATTCAGTTGTACGTCTTGCCGCGCGAGCTCTAACAACATAGGGTCGTCGAAGAATTTATTGATTGAGACATCTTCGCTAAGACCCTTGCGACGTCGCGTCTTGATCATGAACTCTCGAGCCAAATGTGTTGCCGGCTGTGGTTCTAGAGGCCTAGAATTATAATAGAAATAAAATCATGAAATGATGCAACTTGACAGAATCATTGAACCAGAAATAGTCGGAAGCGCAAATGCCAGGATAGGATTTAAAATAAGTAGGATTACTAGGTTTTGATTTGGGAAAATTCACAGTAATCGTTATATTGAGTCTGCATGCATTATGCATGGCTATTGTCATATTTGTAGTACATCCAGGCAAAGCAAAAGTGCAATATTTTTATTGTTATTTACCTGATAACTATACTCTTATCGAGCGGGTCTCCGGGCACGATCTGCCAGTGGTGGAAGACCTGCAGACAGAAGGCCTGGCCCTGTGTGTGCGTGCGCAAGTCCGTCTCGAACCCGAATGAGTCTATCGCCGGCACGAATGCCTTGATCGTGTACAATGGGGACCCAGGGACTGGCGCATCTTGTGTTACGTGACCTAAAGAAAGAATATGATTAGTAATTACTTGACTTGATTTCAAAATACTGGACGGAAAAGCCAAAGGAAAACACTGAAGGCTAGTGAGAGCTAGATAGATAGTGTAAATAAAGAACAATGTAAATAAAGAAAAGTGTAAATAAAGTGTTAATTCCTAAAATTAAAAAAAAAAACATGGAGAAGAGAAAAACGAATTATCGTCTGTATGGGCAGTCAAAAACGTGTGTTTACAGATTTAAAAGCAATAATAAATAATATATCGTAATATCTGCACTCACCTCTTCTCTTGGCTAGTACAGTGTACACAGCGGACACGCAGTCGGCGGGGGCCTGCACTTCCACGAACAGATAGGGCTCCATCAGGCGAGGGGTCGCCATCAAGAACGCTGAGTATGCCACCTAGATGTACATAAGTCATAACATTTATTTAGACTAGTAATACTTGTTTTAACGAAGAAAAGATATCAGACACAACTTTGGTTTTTCTTATAATACCATAAGACACTTCAGAAAATCGAGAAACTAGAAATTAAGAACGACCGTTAGTGAATTTTTATAATACAATTTATGAACTAATATCATCAAATGACATAGTGGAGAAATGCCATTTTTCTTCCAACAAGTATTTAGTGAGTGAAAAAACAAAGTATACACTATTAAAGACACATACCCTTCTAGCAGTGGGTATAATTTGTCCACCGCCTCTGTGTAAGGGCTCCTGTGCTATGACTGCGTCCAGGATTTTGAACTTCACGTTACGGATCGGTTCTTCACACAGGGGACCTTCTCTTGTACCCCATTGGAAACCTGAAATACAAACCGATGTTATACATAAAGTGTGTTAATAATACTCATTCAAAATCACTGTTTATAGTCTACAGGGTTAGGTTAAACCTTGATTGAACATAATTTTCAACTGCATGCTCTAAAATTAATTCTATTAATAAATTAGTTTTTAGATTTTGTGTACATTGTCTTACCTTGAACGATGCTATCTTTGACGGAAGAGAGTAAATGTTTGTCGACCTCTGAGGGCAGTGTGTCGTCGACCAGAATGTTTGGTCCTGTCGAGTCGGGACCGAACGCCCAGATAGAACGCGCCGCTAGTAAATCCCAGTCGTATCTGCAAATAAATTACTTTTTAAAAGTAAATCATAAACGATATAAAATAAAAAAAATGAAGCCGAGAGTTTGTTCGAATAGCCTTATATCGTAAAGTTAGACTTTTGTCCACACGACCACATGTCGGATTTGGAGATACCTATGTATTTCTTTCTTTTATTAGAGCTGAAACACAAATGTTTATGCTGGTGCGAAATCCATGACGTTGTTTTTTGCATAGGGTGCCAAACGACCAGACGAATTGCCTGATGGTAAGCAATCGGCGCCGCCCATGGACACTAGAAACACTAGAGAAGTAACAAGTGCGTTGCCGGCCTTTAAAGGATTCGGAATTTGGGGATTGGGTTTTTCTTGGCGTGCAGAAACCAGTTTTTTATTTGCCCAAGGTTTGTGCCAATCATACAGTATGTACTAGTTCGGTAAGCATAGTTTATATTTTTAATTGTTGGTACTGACTTGGTCTGGAAGAATTCCCCGAGTCGCTTGCGGTCCCAGGTGACGCAGACGGCGCCGGCCTCGATGTCCTCGGCCAGGCCGCGCTCCAGGGGCTCCGCTATCATTGTCAGCTTGTTGCGCTTGTTCGGAGTCTCCGCGAAACACTTCAGCGATGACGTCTCCACCACCGTCTCGCAGAATGATACCACTGGGTCCGCCACTGCATATTTACATAATTTAATTTAGCTAAGCAATTATAAATACTACGGTTTTAATAAAGCTCGCAGAAGGCATATGTGCAGTACTCAACGGAGATGACAGTGAATTTGCTATATCATATTTCAGAGTTGATATTTGCACATTACCTTTGATATCGATCTCAGAGTACATGTTCCTCAGGTCGTGCATGACACAGTCCAGATATAGCTCGCCGGTCCCGAGTATGACGTGCTCGCCCGACTCCTCCACGCGGGTCGACAGTAGCGGGTACGACTTGTTCACCTGCCATACACATACTACATTTATACATGGTTTCATGGTGTTAAAGATCAGATAAAAAATTAAAAACTGAAATACATTATAATTAATTATGAACTAAAGTAACATTTTCGAGTACTTTTCCTCAACAATATTTATTTATTTTTCTTAAAATCGTAAAGTACTATATTTTATTCAGTTAAACTTTAAAAAAATATCAACAATCAGTCAGTAGACATACCTTCCTCAGACCATCTAACATCTTAGGTAACTCGGAAGGGTTGACAGGTTCCACAGCAATCTTGACAACAGCCTGTGTATTGAAACGCAGCGGAGTGAATGTATGAAGCTCTGCATCCTCGTCACTGGCCACCACTGTACAAGTCTTCACTATCGGCTGGTCGATACCCTCGATCAGTGCCCAACAACCTGCTGGGACGCGGTTCAGTTCCACCTGGACACAAATACATAATGACGATAAAGGGTGATAAAACACAATGAAAATAATGTCTACACTTTGTAGGTGCCTTATGTATGTATTTTAATGCGATAGGTTGGTAAAAGAGCAGAAGAATCATCTGATAGTAAGCAATTGTTGTGGCTTATGGACACTCGCAACACAAGAGGTTACAAGTGCGTTTCTGACCTTATCAGGATTGGGCCTCCGGTAATTTCAGTTAACGACATGCATGGCTTGCTTGAGTGTTAGAATCCTGTATTTCTACCGAGTACCCACCTTGTACCGCGCCTCGTATATCCACAGTCGTCCGACGTTCATGAGCCGCGAGTCCTCCTCGTCCTGCGTACTATAGTTCTCCCCCAGTACACGCACCGTCTGGCCCGCGTACAGTGTGCCTGACATTATGCGTGCCAAGACCTGTATGACAGATAATGTGTTTCATTACTAGTACAACTTCACATACAGCCAAAAATTACTTTATACAATGCTGAATTCGTAGATTTTGATCATGAATAGACAGGCATGTGCCGTAGTTAACAATTTTATGGGGATTGAACTAACCAACGACTGCCTCGTCGGTCGAGTGGTCGCAAGTGCAAGTGTCGGGCAAGGGATCTCGGGTTCGATTTTATAAATCTTAGTAGTAGCACGATGTCGGGAAACGTGCCCGGTATATGGCAATAGGCTCAACCTATTACATGGGATGGGACTCATAACATAAATAGTGAAAAGTGGGTGTTGCATTGTACAGTGGCATTAAAGGCTATAATGTGCTCTGCGGTAGGCAGACCACATTATCCTTTGGGGATAAAAGGTGTGATGTTATGTATGTTATAAACTAACCAAGAAGAAAGTGCAGTCATCGGTGGGGTACATCTTGGTGGTGTGTGCGACGAGTCGTCCGGCCTGGTCGCAGGCCAGCATGTCGTCCAGCAGCGGGCCGGCCGCGCCGCGGTACGTGTGCGACACCTTGCGCGCCGCCGCGTCCAGCGGGGACGGCACGTGCCGGACCACCATCTCCACGAAACCACTACAACATAACTCACCGCTACAATTGTTCTTTTCAGATTCAACAAATAAATTGATTCCACTTAAACTAATAAGAGATCAGTGGCAGTCAATAGTCACTTTAAAATAGGAATTTAACATCTCTTAAACTTAGGTAACATTTAATGAGTTGTCATTGAGTTTATTATCTTTCGTCATACAAATGTACACTTTTCAGCAAGCAACTCACCAGTGACTAATTGTTGGACCATGCTATTTTTTAAATATTTTACATTGACTTCTGACTAATATAGATAGTGACACCATAATCACAGTAATCATAGATAGTATCTCACCAGAAGTCTCCAAAGAACCTACTGCAGACGAGGCGCAGTAGCGGGCGCACGTTGAGCTTGGCCTCCTGCTTGGTCAACTTGATGCCCAGCTCCGACAGCACGGCTGGCAGCGTGTCGTCCACGTCACCCACCACCTGCGGACATCATGTTAATTAGAGAAGGTATTCCTTACATTTGGTATGTGGAAATGATCAGACAGTCATTAAGGTAGTCTTTACCAACCAATCCCTAACCTGTGCAGGCCCCAAACAGACAAAAACTCCTTGGTGATAAAGAATCTTGTATGGATCGCAAATCGCAGTAAAGAACATTAAAACATCGATGACACTTTTATTTTCTATTGATCAAACTCAGGCTTACTTGTGCAAAAATCTTATACAGCGGCTCTAGAATGAACTCCACAAAGCTTCTCTGAGCTGATGCGTGAGGTTGTTTCTTGGTGAACCGACGGTTCTTGGCGTTGAAGTACACATCTCCCCACAGCCAGGCCGCCATGTCAGCCGCTCGGAGCCCCGAGCAGGGGTGCGCCGCCGCGTACATTGCCGCAAACGACTCTACGCTGAAGCACACGTCATACAGCGACGACGCGAAGCACACGTTACCTGAGGAAATTAAACACAATTTGTATTTTAGTTTGATAGCCAACATAATATGATAAAATCTCCTCATTATTTGCCAGTTGGCCAGTTGAGAGAACTTCAATACTTTACTGCTTAAGTATTTCATAATGTTACGTAAAAACGGGAAATTTTATATGCAAGATATTTTAGTTCATGTAATGAAAATTCATTATCAATATTTAACCCAATTAAAGACAATCGAGAAAGGCTTCTTTCTCAAATGAACAAAACAAAGTTTCAATAACAAAAGTTTACCTAATAAAGGCGAGAACACAATAGGCGGTTCATCCGGATTGTCCTGAGGCTGGTGTGTCTCCAGCATGGAGTTGAGTTCATCAATGATGTGCCTCAGCTTGTAGTAGGCGTCTGCGGGCGGCAGCTTGAGCTCCAGTATGAGGCGGTCGATCTTGTTGATGCAAAGCGTCAGGGGCACTCGCTCCTGCACTGCATGGCGTAAGAGTCGCTCTGTGTTCAGCATAATACCTTCCGCTGCGTCAACGAAGAGTACCGCGCCTGTAGAGAGAAAAGTATAATTAGTAAATGATATGTATAATCAGTCATGTAGTTAATGCACATCACAAACATGCATTTTGATTAGCTTCATAATAGCTCAGTTGGTCAGAGTACATAAAACTGCTTTGACTTTGACACATTTTATTTTAAGTATCCTATCCTATCAGTTGAACATTCATTCAGACATGGTAATTATGTAAGAAGCAGTTAAGTTTCATTGTAACTTGCCATCAGATATCCTCAAAGCAGCAGTAACTTCATCACTGAAGTTGACATGCCCTGGAGTGTCCATTATGTTCAGGAGATGTGACTTTCCCTTGATATTCTTCAGCAGTAGGGTCACAGGCATGGACTTGATGGAGACTCCTCGCTCCTGCTCCACAAACAGAGTGTCTGTGTACCGCATCGGTATTGTTGTGTCTGTGTTTATTGTGCCTGGGTGTGTCTGTCTGATCAGACAGTCTACAAATGAAGTTTTACCTGAAAAAATGTAAAATATTGGGTTTAATATTAGTACATACTCAGATTTGACTCAGAAACTAACAAGACCCAGAACATAATCCCTCAACATTAAAAAAAAGTTTAATTTTCTAGTTACCATTATGCAAGTGTCCCATGAGAGTGACATTCCTCATGAGATTGGTATTGTCCAACATGTCTGCCATGTACTCCATATCATATTTGGTTTCAGGAAGCTGTTGCTCTTGGACCTGGAACTTCTTGTGCTTAATAGGTTCCACCAGAGGCTTGTCCAGGGCCTGTGTGTCCTCCTCCTGGACCACTGTCTCCACATCTGGTCCATACACTTCTACTGCTTGAGGGTAGTATCTGATAAGAGAAACAAATTGGAATCCAGTGTTACAGTTATGATGTAATTAGGAAGATAATAAATTAAGTTCATTGGCAATTACATTTTACTTATTATAAATAGAAATGCCAAGGAATCAGACTAAGGTTGATATTTCATAGATTTGTTAAACATAAACCAATTCTCAAGAACACTTAGTTTGTAGTTTATTAACTGTTTCATTATTTGTTTATAGAAACTTTATTTGTTATCCTAATTCTTGAAATTCTGTTTTTAAATATATTGTTCTTTGTTGTAACACATTGCAATAGTGGTATACAAGAGGAATAGGTCATAGTGTCATATGAAATGTTTAAATTATCAAAATACTTGTACTGTTTGGTAACAATTATTGTGCAATATGTTAACCTGTATTCTTGACACAAGTTGTCTTGTCTTAGTCCTTATTAGAAGGGTGATATGATCTCAAGATCTAAGTTTGTAACTAAACAATAGTGTTGTCAGTGAGTTGAGAGTTCACTGTGTAACCTTATAAAGAATAGTCTAGTTGTGCTTGTACAATGTTTTGATTGATAACGTATAAACGTACCGCTTGTCCTCGTGCAGTACAACAGACATGGGCGCCGCCTCGGGCTCCGCATCCGCGTCCTCGTCTTCCTCCATAGCATCTTCGTCCGCATCCCTGTTATCTTGCCCATACACACTCTGTTCGTCGTCCGAATCAGACTCTAAGTCCGGTCCTATATAATTTCCAAACTCGTCGTACAAATCACCGTCCATTTTTAGTATTTATTGGAATATAAATTCTACTATTCTAAAGAACACTGTGTTTCAAAACAAATGCCGCCGCTTATATTTTTGAGTTCTGACACATAACCTCAATTGGCTTTGCAGTCATCAACCGAGTTGTTTGCGACGACCATAGAGTATAATTTTCAACCGCAGAAAATATCGGTCTGTCATTCAAATAGTTATACTGAACGCATCGAGTTCCCATCTCATCTATATTTTTTCTGTGAAGTTGCTTTTCCGTATCCGTTCGTCTGTCTGTCTGACTGACAATCTGACAAATAAATTCTTTTCAAATTCAATACAAAAATGGCTGCTGTGCAACCAAATCCAAATTTTGCAAAAATGATTTCGGCGCAGCTTCGTAATAAAGCAAACCATAACAATCTTGCTGATATACTAGAGATGTTTGAGGTAAGCATATGTTTCTCAGATTAGTAAAAACTGCAATATTAAAACTGCGTCATAGGTTACGTTCTGTAATAATGATTATTTATTGTATTTCAGGCTGAGACGGACAATTATACGCCCTTACTGCTTACTGTAGAAGTGATATTTACAAAACTGTTGCGAAGAGGCGAATTGTTAGAGGGAATAGTTCCACTGAAACCAGCAGGTAAGTGTCAAAGTGGTGTTCCATCTTATAGATTATTTTGTGGCAATAATATTGATTTTGCTTGTACCTAGGCACCATATTTGTCTAATAACTACGTTGAGTGTCAAGTTTATAGAGGCACAGTGGGCAGTAAGGATGTCGAGTGGGCTGTGTCCTGTGTGGTCACATTTTGCGACATGTGACGTTATTTGCTTATATAAACGGGTGATTCGACCGCAGAGCCGCACTCTTGTGTAATTACTCTTGTTACGAACTGCATTATGTACAGAAGCTTTATATAAATAAGTTTTACATAATAACAAAGTTATATTGGTATTGGTTTTGGGTGGCTCTATCTGGCTGCTACCAAGCATTGTGCTGTGCTACTGGACACGGCCTCAAGGTCACGCATATGTCTGTTGTGTGCCTCACGTGTACACACAGTACACAGTATGTTGATTGTAAAGTGTTTACCCTTTTGTTTACTTTGAAATTAAACAAAATGGCTTATCATTATTTACATTTCTAATGACACCATCATAAATAAATATTCCTAATTTTCAAAAGTAAAAGCTTTTTAAACTTTATTCAGGTACTAATTACTTCTGTGTGGTTTTACCCCTGCTCTGCTCAGCTCACTTTAATAGCCTATAGCCTTCCTGGATAAATGCTCTATCCAGCATAATAAGAATTATTCAAAATTCAGGCATTAGTGTGTTTTATTTTTATTATTGCTTTATATGTATAATATATAATAGTATAAGATATAGTTGACTTAAGGTTCATTACATGTACACAAGCCTGGTCTTAATGTTATTAAATTCATCGTACATACATACAATTTCCGTAATCATAGGGAAAATTGAACAATAGCACTCTTTACGATGTAATTGAGGGCTCTTAATAAAACAACTAACTGGCTGCTAGTATAATGATTTAAATGTAACATAATTACTTTTATATTCCATTACCAGTATACTATTGATCATTATTTTAAAGTGTATTCAGATACATTGTAAAGCAGTGTTCATTAAAAACATTTGTTAATAGAATATCAATATCAATTGCACATGAATTTGGTCTGGCCAGATACAGATGAGTCACATTTAACCTTTTCAAAGTTTGAAGGATACAAACATAATATTATCAACACTGATACACAAATCCTATGTCTAAAATTGCATGAGTCGACAATTTTTGTGATTAAAAATATATACAGAGAAAAGTGGTTTATAATGGCTATTCAAAACCTTATATTATATCTATTTGATTGATGATATCAAGTTTCTATGGCTGACTAGGAGTGACTTGCAGTCATATGATAGCAAACTGCAAGTCATGCAAATGTATTCCTTATTTCAAAGAGAATTTAACTATATTCCTCTCTGTAAAACATCTGTAATATTATGTTAGGAACATTGTTGAAGGAATACACTGTAAGCCATTATCAACAAAACAAATAATGATTTTAAAGTTGTTCTAATTGAGATAGTCTGAGTCATTCAATATGTTGTTCATTGTATTTTAACCTTTGATGACAACTTTAGATATAAAAGGTCAATAAATACGAAAAAGGACTAGTTCTAACATAATACACAAATATATGTTTGTATATTTCTCTTGGACTCGCCATTTTCATCATGGCTGTTGTAATATAACACTTGAAACTAGCTTCTATGTACTTAATGCTATATCTATTACAGTCTATTAATTGTGATAAACTTATATCATCCATAATGTAGTGTTTGTTTTATAATTCTATTTGTCCTGTTGTGACCAAGTGACTTCTTTAATTATTTGATTTGAATAGCATGTCACATGTGATCATTTTGCGATACAAAACCGCATTTTCCTTGATTGTGTGAATAGCTTGATAATGATATCCTTATTTCACAGACAATAGTCCTGAAGCGCAGTACAAACGATGGCTGCGCGAGTGCTTCGAGGCGGCCCAGACTCGCATCCTGGAGTGCATCCGCCGCGGTCGCATGAGCTCCCGGCTGCAAGCTCTAGTCACTGCTTGCAAGCTCATGCAGGCTGAAGGCAAGCACCCTCTGGAAGGTTCCTCTGGATTTTATTTCCCATCAGTCAGGCTCAAGGTAAGCTGTCACAGTTTTGTTTTTTACTACTTGTCATTTTGGTTTCGTACTTCTTGACTTAACTTCTTATGAATATGTGTTAATTAATTTGTTTTTATTTTAGAACATATTCAATGTATTGCTGGACCCTGAAATATCGATGTCGGCGCCGATAGCCCGCTTCCAGGAATTCACCGAGTACAAAGACGTACAGCAATATGGGCTGAAAGTACTCTCCACAATCGCTTATCGCAAGTAAGAGACTATCAAAATAACCATAAACTTTATTAATTACTGATGTTCACAAGATTTATAAGTTAACTGTACATAATGTTGCAGATCACCAACATCAGTATACATGCAGAACTACTTGGAGTTGCTTGACAAACTGCTGGTATGTGAGATACCCACAGAGACCAAAATCAAGGGCAAAGAGAGGGATGAAGAAGAAAAGGAAGAAAAACTTCTGTGTGGCACTGAAGGTGAGGAGATAGTTCATACATTTGTACATAGGAAGGTATTTGTTCAATTTCCATAAATGAAACATTTTTCTTGTTGTCCAGACAAGGCCCCATTCCCGTACAACCCGGGCGTGTGCCGGCGCTACGCCAACCGTTGCTGGGGCTTCGCGTGTCAGTGGCCGCTGTGCCAGGACTCCCGCACGCACCGCCGCGCGCTGCTACTGCTCGTCGAGCGACTCATGCCGCTACTGAACCGGCCGCATCTCGCCACTGACATGCTCTGCGACAGTCTGGATGCTGGTTAGTGCACTATTCTAATTATTATAACCGTTACTAGGTTGTGGAGAGCAGATAATAGTAAAATGTTTACATCTAAGAACCTGTACCGACACAAAAGAAAGGAAATGAAATAAAATAGCAATGGCATAATATATCCACAGGTGGTCCTATCAGTATGTTGGCCCTGCAAGGCGTGTTGGAGCTGGTGCGTCGTCACAACATCGACTACCCCGACATGTACGACCGCCTGTACGCTATGTTCGAGCCTGAGATGTTCGCCACACGGTACAAACGACGACTCATGCACCTCGCAGACATCTTCCTCAGCTCCACGTAAGTCTGCATACAATTGCTTATTCACGCTTTTCAAAACAAGTTTACAAAAAAATCTCGACTAAAGATGACACATTCGCAACATGTATGATATGGTTTGTGTCAACTAGACAGTACATGCTGTTGTACGGTGACGCGAAGTTTTTATACAATTGGCGCGTGGGTCTATAGATATCTACTAAATTAGTTTTTTATCGGTATTATATGTATTGTTAATATATACAGAGTGCCTTATAAAAGGTTATGAGTGTCTTGTATATATAAATTAATTTAAACATAATGGTATTGGTATTCAGTACTAGTAAACATTCATGAAACATGACATTCCTAATCATCGCTTACCACTGGGCGAGATAGTGGCCAAACATATAATCGTATAATATAAAACGCCCATCAAATGTATAAAAAAACAATCTTATGGTTAAAAAAAGAAGTAGTAAAACTGTAACTGTTCATTATATTATGTTATGAATATCATAATATTATGTTTTCCGTTCTCCAGCCACTTGCCAGAAAGTCTCGTAGCGGCGTTCGCGAAGCGTCTGTCTCGGCTGGCGCTGGTGGCGTCCCCCGAAGACGCGGTGGGACTGCTACAGCTCGTCGCCAACTTGTTGCTGCGCCATCCCGCGCTCAAACGCATGATCTGCTATGAAGACACGCCCGCTATTAGTGAGTACTCAATACGAAATCATCTAGAAAACTATACTTTGTTAATTTATTCACTGCTATACTAGACAAGTTCAGCATTTCTTGTCTGGGTGAGGAGAAACATCGAAAAGGAAAAGTTGATCAATCATGTAGTAGCATTGGCAATATAGTGTACATGTGTATGTTCCGTAGTGTCGAACGACCCGTACGTGATGGAGGAGACGTGTGCGCGGTCGTCCCGTGCGCTGGGGTCGTCGCTGTGGGAGGTGTGGGCGCTGCGCCGGCACCCCGCGGCCGCGCTGGCCGCCGCCGCCGCGCGCGTGCTGCAGCCCGCCGCCGACCGCGCCGCGCCGCTCGCGCTCACTGCGCCCGACCTCGCCGCGGTAACTATACACACACTTCTACTACACCATCCTTATAGATACGGCCCGACCAAGAATCAGGCAAAGAGGGCACTTCTGAACATCAAAGTACTGAGTGTCAGTCTGTCGGTCAGTCTTACCAGCAAATAACTAATGTTTGTTGCCTTGTTACATTACTTAGACGATAATTTCAATTTAATATTTATTTCACAGTCCTTCGACGCCGAACTAAAGAAGAGGTTCAAGACGATAGAGATGAATTTCGTCCGGCCACAAGGCATGACTACGCCATCTGGCGAACGAGTGATGCAGTACTGGGAGCTGATGGCCTGAATGACACGCAGTAAGAATAACAACACTGTTGACTCGCATTTATGGATCACCCTACACGTGAGAGGACCACGCCGCCAAGCGGCACAGACTAAATCAAACGTGATGTGATTTGCTCTGCCCCCTACTTGGTCGGTCGGACCAAATCCTGTCGCCTGTAGGTCTACACATTAATTTCAGTACAGGCCCCGTTGCTTGCGAATTTAGTTGATGTCAGAGTTGTAAGGATAGATATGACTAGAATAGTGACTATTATTGCGTCTGGTTATTAGAAATATTTTATTATTATTGTAACTTTACAACTCTGTTGGAATAAGCTTTCGAGACGTGTATATTTATACTCTTCAGGACTAACCTCGTATTAGGAATGCACAGTTAATCAAAGATTATATCGATAGGACATCACTGGTATTTGCAAACTTCCTCAAATAGACAGTTGCCTACTTTCAGATTGCTAGTTTCAGAATAAAATATAAATAAATATATTCGTCTTCCGGCAACCGTCGTCAAAATTGCATGATCGACACATACATTGATCATTCAATTTCGATACAAGTGATGTGGAGTACACGGCAGTATATAGCACTGCACTTTATTTATGTACACTCTGTATGTTTCACTTAGTATACGGACAGAACCGTACTAGGCCTAGCAGTGTAGCTATTTTGTTGCTTACCACATATTTTACAAGTAAATTGTTGATAGTTATAACTAAAATGTAAGTATATACATTATACACTCTATATACAGTTTGTCTGTTTGAAACAAAGATGTCGCGATTTGGTCACATTTTGAAAGTATTGCCAGTGACCGCAACTCCACTTCCTAAATACACAAGATATGATAATATAATAGTATAAAGTCTGTAATTGTAAGGTTTTGAATACATTTTGCACTTGTAATGTTAACATTTTAATGTAGGTGATGTTTGTTGTACTTCTGTTACAATTTTATTTTTTTACGAATGACTTCGAACGTCTGTGATTGTTGGGCCGGGCGTCGGTAGCGAGCCACGTTTACAAGGTTATTTATTTAAAAGTATATAGTCAGTAAAGTAAGTGTATATCCGCGTGGGTGTAGATAGACTAGCGCTAATACTGTGTCTACTCTTTGTAGGAGACGTGAATAGTAATCTTTATGAATAAGTAAATTATGTCTGATACTGTTTATGTTTAAGTATTAACTAACTTATTGTGTATAGTGTAACTTTACTAAAGGCTACTACCGACACCCGGGTGCGCGTGCGCCGCCCGAACGTGCTCTGCTGGCGCCGCGCATAGATTGTTATAGAATAGCTCGTGAATGTCACGTGTCAGGTTGGATAGAGATTTTATCCCAAATATTATGATTGCCATGACAAAATGAATGAAAATGGGAAAATCTCGTTGAAATTATTAATCCATAAAGGCAAAATGTCGATCGATATGAACATAGTCAACAATTAGCTCTAAATATAATAATTAATCAGAATATCGATCGATTGAAGCTGCAATTTGCAAATTCTCTAAAAACAAACAGGGTGATATGACCGTGCTCCCCAGCAGGGGTAGGCAGTGGTGTACAGTAGACAGTGACATAACATAGTATATTTTTACACAAGTAGTGAATTGGATCACATCTGACACGTGCATTCTCTTGGATCGCAGTGATTGGTCCGTTAGATAACTTACGTGCATCGTCGCCGTCTTCCCGCACTAAACTATTATAGTTTCATTCCAATGCGAACTTCCTGAACTGTTTGTTGAACATTTATTAAATAAGAAATTTATTTTTGTTGATTTTTTTTTTTTCTTTAGAAGCTGTTGTCTCTGTGTAGTGAAGTAAATTGAGGTGTAAGAGAAAGAAGTGTTATGTTATTTGAATTACATTGATTGATTAGTAATTATAAATCAGTAAGGGCTAATTAATTGTCTGTCTTGTATATTTTGATACCATAACAAAAACGGATAAAAAGTAAATTTTTTAGTACGATTTTTTTTTTATAAACAGCTAAATATTTTCTAGGCATCTGTGAATTGCAAAAACCTAAAGGGGTATTAAGAGAAATATGTAGCCAGCATCAAAATTTAAAACTATCTGCTTGACATAACTTTTACTTGATTATAAAATGAAGTATATTTTTCACAATCTTCACTACAAGAGATAAACTGTTTACCAAATTGTCCTGTATCACGTGTTGATCAAGTTTGTATGTATCTGCAGACAGACAGACCGCCATATTTATTTAGTTTTATTGTTATTATTAGTTGATTGAAGCCTCGCAGATTGGGGCGCGGCTGGACATCCGATAAACTTGGACAGATGGCCAATTTAGAGATACAAGCTCTTAAGGTTATTGTATCCTATTTTGTATTTTATTTACTAAGAAGTAAATGCTAGTTTCATATATCAAACGTTAAATTGGTATTTAAACTGTCAGTCAATATCTTAAGTGTAATTTCTAAACATTTTCGAAATGCTGTGGCGTACTTATGTTGGCCAGTGATTATGATTTTATTATTATACTACTATACATGTAAGATTATACATAGTGCAATACTGTTCGGAACATTTTTGTACGTTTTTACAATATTCTAGTCTGGATAAGAAACGCCATGTGGCTGAAGACGATAAGTGTGTTTTTAAATTATCATTGATAAAGGTTACACGATTTCCTATTTCTTTCTAACTCATGTTTCACTGAAATGATAAAATACTATAGTTATGTAGGTATATGAATGCGGTCATTCTGTATTCACGAAAACAAAAGACTATTGTTGCTTCCATCGAAATAACAAAAGGCGAAGTACTTCCATATAACAAAGTTCAAAACTTTTACCTCAACATTTAAAATGTTTTTTTTTGTATATTGTGACGAAATATGGAAAAATTATGTAATTTCATGAATTAGTAAATTACACAAAATCTAGACGTGATATACATTTTCATTATTTGAAGAATATGGCCATTTTGTTTAGTTCTGTACGACGATACTTGTTGTTTTAGCTGGGACAGAGAACTTTAATAAAAAGGATTTACGCCCGAATATTGACTGAATATACTTTGGCGTAACTTATAATTGAGTGGCCTTTGATATTTAGACATTACTGTCGGCTAGTACAAGCAATGCCGGCTTGTTAGTCATGCCGTGACAATCTATAAATCTAAAAAATATCACTTTCATAGAAATATGCATATTGAGTATATTCTTTGAAGAAACTGTATGTCTATCACGTCTACATTTTATGTAATCTGTTTAGAGCGCGAACGAAGCTGCAGGCAGAACCTAATATAATATTATTTATAACAAATGTACCAATTTTACAGTGGATATTCGCAAGAATAATTCAAATTATGTTTTAATTGTACTGTGTTAAATATTCACTACATTATTGTAATATTTGTATCTTGCACACAATCGTCAGACGTACCATTGTGCACAGGAACCAAACCAGTAGTACCTACATTGTAGGAGTACTAACCCCACCAGTGAATGTCTTAGAATCTCGCTAAAATAGCCCCTATTACCACGGGGATAAGGAGTTAGCCGCCGCGCCCGCCGCATCTATTGTGATTATGTTGAAACAAAAATATTAGATGTAAGTTAGGTTAAGTCATTATTTTAATATCATTCATTTAATGTTCTATTATTATATTCATGACGATAAATAAAGTATTATAAAAATATTAGTATTGTGTTTTATTAGTACACACTAACCTAAATATAGGCACAATGAAACATGTAGAGAGTAAAATATTTCGTCTATATTATCCAACAACAATACATTACAAACAGGTGCTTCGTTCAACATAACAATATTTGGCACAACGCAACTCATCGTAAGGCACTTGCTTCACTATAATCACTAATATTGTCGCCAGGAACACAATTACGTATAAATAACATACAGTCAACATTCAAACTCCTTTCCTGGCGTGCTAATCTTGCGACTGTATGCTGCGCATACGCATATAGCTACATACTATCCAAAGGTCCAGGAAAAGGGTTTCTAACAATACATTTGAACATTTCCAACACATTCCGCGTAACATAAACATGTATATCATAATTAAAAATAATATAAAAGAGTCTACAAAGGTTTAAATAAAATAAAGTACCTACTGTGGACAACTAGAGCCGCGTGTCTAAAAACAATATGGAGGTCATCACGACATTCGGCAAACTGACAAAAATATGCCTTATACAATCTGTGCACACTAATTATGCGAGTTATTTATTTATTGCACAAGTCAGAGGTGCCATGGCTCTATTATCATCAGTACTTTCTATTTGATTTACTTTTCATGCAATCGTCAGTGACTAGTGGCGTGTAGCCTTTACAATATTCTTTAATTATACAAAAAAAAATAGATTTTGATCGCAACAATATTTCTCACTGTACAATTATGCTAGATTCACACCAATGCATGTATCAATGTGCTGGTCAGGACAGGTACACCTTGCTAGACAACTTTTAGTCCTCACACAAGTCTTTATAAAATAGTGATATGCCGATACAAAAAACTTATAAATCTACATCTAACAAAATATATTTAATTCCTGTACAAATAAAAATACTAAACGTTACTTGTCATTATTAACCGATTCTTTATAAACTAATACGACGTCCCACTGTTTTGGATGTGTTGCATAGTCGGAATAATAACTCTAACAGTCAGACATCAAGAATAGTAAGAAGGTATCACAGAATACTGTGGGCACGTTTGTGTCGCTCCTAACAACATTAAGCTTTCACTGGAAGACTTAATTTCTTTAACAAAATATTAAAAAACATATAAAACAATGACCGGTCACACTACAGACGCAAAAAACGCGCGCACGTACACCCACAACAGTGGACGCGTGATACATGAGCCTCGCGTCACTTCACTCGTGTCTCGTGTCCGTCACTCACTTGATGATCTGTTCCTGGCTGTCGCTGGGCGCGGACTTGGCGTTGTGGCAGCAGGTGATCTGCGGGCTCTTCTCGCGCGCGTCCTGGCGCGGCTCCTCCGGGCTCTCGTCCTTGCAGCAGCCCTGGCTGGGCTCGTGGACTATCACCGTCGTTTCCTTCTTACAACACTTCTCCTCGGGTGGAGGCTCTTGCTTCTTCTTACAGCAACCTTGTCGCTCCGTCCGGAGTAGCTGCACATCTTCTACACTAGGACTATCTTCTTTCTCACTCTCGTGATGGCAGTGTGATGTGGAAGCCTGAATTTTCTTAGCTCTAGCTACCTTTGAGGGGCATTTCTTCGCGCCGTAGAAGCAGGTGGCGTTCTGCTCGCTGGTACTGCCCTCTTGTGAGGAAGCGGGGAAGTAGTGTGAGGGCTGGATGCAGGTGCGAGTCTGGCAGATGAAGAAGTCGGACTCTGAACTCATCGAGGAGTCCAGTAGAGGCGGAGTTGTATTCTCGGCTGTGGGGGAAACACACGTAATGAATATAATGTAATAATGAATAAAAGAATATGCTTCGTAGCGAGTTTATCAGAGGCGAAGAAGATTTTAGTTCAGTCAAATTAAAACTACATAATATCTGAATCCAAAAGCAACCATTTTTATTACTTTCAGAAATTAAAAACATGATATGTAATAATAAAATTAACAAACTAAAAAAGCGGAAACTACTAATAGCCATAGAATACCTATCTACGTGTCAAAATACGTAAATATTTTCCCTGTGTTCAACTAAGCTTTGCATTTGAAATACAGTTACAGTATCCATATTATAAATTATAATATTAATCAAATAAGTAGATAATTAATATTATTCCGTCAATACAGTTGCTATTGAAAACACATTATGTACACTACTGATCAAATATTAAACAAAAATACAATTTAAATTTGGAAAGCAAGTCGTGAAAAATAAAAGGAATTATAGTTTTGTTTCTACAACTGTGTCAACTAAAGTAACCTTGGGCACTCAGATGGTGTAATTATACTACTATTTAACTTGTATTAAGACTACAAAGTCATGTTCTGTTTCCATGTCGCAACGTAGGTACCTAAATGTTGGTCAGGCGATCCGTCTACAAAACCATTTCAAATATACCAAAGTGAAGCAGCGCTAAATGAAATGAATGAAATAAAATTACAAAATTAGTTGTTATAACTAAATTAATGTAATTTGAATTTTTTTTGCTAAAATACTTCAACCAAAACTACGTGGAGGACAAGATTATTAAAGAAACTAGAATACAACACACCCTATGAGCTCTCACCACATATGCTCCATAACGTTTGCAATCACTAGAAACCCAAAGCAATCTATTCTACTAAGTTCACACATCTCCGAGAGTTAAAATTCCCTTGTCCACCAACATTTTCAGCCAAAACTACAAAAGCAGTCGAACTATTAACCTCGAAAACAATACAATCTACTTATAGCCAAACGAAGCCTACTACTGAATTAAGACGAGAGAAGGTGGTCCGAAAGGTTTGCCAAAATCCCCATGCTTGGCAGACGCAGACATCTTAGAGATCCGAAAATTTTAAAGACACTGCTGCTCATATCTCAATGGCGGGTTGTAGTTTTAGGACATAAACAGTTACAATCTATTACAACAACATTCTAAAAGCATTCTACAATACTACTCATGAATATGAGTCCCTAGCGTGGCTCGAAACTAGTTGAGTTATCTCACCAAACAATTACGTAGGTAAGCCGTAAGCATAATTCACTAGAGGCATCTAGTTCCAAGCTACGTAAACATAGAAGTGCACATTACATTATCGTCTAGGTCTATGGAACTCGTCGGGGGAGAGCGTGTGGTCGGTCTGCTGTAGCTCGACGGCGTCCATCTTCTTGCACAGTTTGCCCTCGCACACGTCCCAGCTACATTTCTCCGTGTTGCAACGATCTTGGGAGTGATGGGTCAGGGAGGGATTATGTTAGTAGTCTCCTAACTTTACTTAACTACTCAAGTGTTGAAGATGTGCCTAAGTAATGCTAAGTCATCAACGTAATGTTTATGGAAGTCTTACTAGTTCTTCTTGAGATTTTAGATTTGACCCGACATATCTACATACATATTTTAAGATACCTTTCTCGAACAGGCGACGGTATGTTGGTTTACTTACTCGATAAAAAATCTTCATCTATTCTGCACTATCGCTGTGTTCTTTTTGCGAGAGTTATGCAATAAGAAGAAGAGCATTTTAAAAATAAAATATGTAATTATCACCATTGTCACTAAACCCCTAACAAAGACAGAACGAATGGTTAGAAAGGCAGAAATAATTGTGCGCCACAATACAAAATACGTACTACGACCACATATACTGGCATCCAGCGTACCGGCGTACCAACAGTGTATTGTGAATATATAGAAATTGTTAGTAAAACAACTCGTGCTGTGTGACCCTCTAATAATATTGAATTGTATTAGTCATAACGATTATTAAATCATTATACAACGCCCACTATGTATTGATAGCCAACTATTGACAGTATGGCTGCATTGACCGCTATTATGTGGGTCTTTAAACAAAGCTCCTTTAATGCAGCTTGAACGCAAGTAGGACGCCTCGCAAACGAGAGCCAATTCAACCTAAAATATAAACATCATCAGCTCAGTTTCGTCCACGGCTCGACAGAGGCCTTCCACAGCGCCATTATTGCTCGCATTTTATTGTCAACCTGTTGAAACTGTTTATAAAGGCCCTAATCATATCTGTTTTGCCAGTTACATGTTACGTAGGTACCTACATTCGTTTGACAATTATTTTATTAGTTGCAAGTTAGAGACAATTTCCTTATTGCTATAAATATACCGCACACTATTATGAACTGTGATTTTACAGTGTATTTTTTATAGTTTAAAAACTTAACAATACTTTTCCCTGTAGTATTTAACTTCGACCCGACCTCAGCAGTATTAGGAAAACGAATCAATGGCTGTAGTTTTTGTGACACATTAGTCATAATTCATTAATTGATAGTGTCCTTAAAAATATTACAATGTAATTTTAATTATTTTAAGTTACGACACTCAAAATAACTAACTACTATACAAATTATATATCCGTATTAACACATAGCCCAAAGAACTGTTGTATTATAATTGACAAAACATAACATAGCTATGAAGCACACGAAAGCACAGACGGACAAATGAATGTAATAATGTAACATATATATCGTGCTGACGCCACGGACAAGGAAATGAAATAATAATGTTAGGTACGTGTATATCGTGCTTACCGGTATCATCGCACTCCGGCGTGCAGATGACCACTCGCTTTCTGCTGAAGCACTGCATCTGGAGCCGCGTCAGCTTCGTGCCGAACAGGAAGTAGCCTGGAGATGAGAGAATAACTAGTTAGAACTGTCCCATTACAACAAAAAAGTAAAAACGGAACTCGTAGGTGGGCTCTAAACGCAGGACATTTCAAAAGTATAAAGGTTGTATATTAAATATTACCAAAATTTCAAAATTTTCTATAATATGTCGGTAAAAGCTAGGCTGATGTCCAAGGCCTTTCCTAATAACACGCGCTCAGAAAGAACCTGCAAATAGTGTACTATAACAAATCCAAGTGTTGCCAAGGATACATACCGAGCATCATTCCGAACACCACGGCGAGTAGCAGATGCACATTGTAGACCATCACGGCCAACATGAGCAGGTAGCCCACCACGTTGTGTAGCAGGAACACCACTGACTGATACGTGTTCACTAACGCGCTGCAAACATACAAAACATTATATTAGGTTATGATCTTTCTCCCAGTCTTTACCCAACAAACTTAAGGTCACTGCTGCCTATTTTCTTACACAAAGGAACTACCATCTTCCCTCTACAGATTTTTTGGTCTCCAGACGTCAATAAACGCCGTAAACTGTAAATAATGTAGATATACATGTATGACCACCAGCACAGACTGTTTGCTGCTTTTCTAGTCTCAATACTAATATTATACAAGAAACATTTGTCTACAATACAGATACAGTCAAAAACTTACCGTACTCTAAGTGACGCCCATCTGCTGACTTGCCCAGAGCTGGCGTTCCGGCTGGTTGTCGGCTCCATGCTGCCCTGTTCCCTGCAACCAAACACGACATTTATTAACGAACAGCGACCCTGCTTGCTGACCATAGTCCTTCTGTTTTGTAATGTTGGTTGAATAATTCAACTTGAACTGGAACTGACTTACTTACTTAATTATACACATAACATCACGCCTTTTATCCCCGAAGGCCGATGGGGTAGGCAGAGGTGCACACAGAAGTAACACCCCCTTTTCACTAATTATGTTATGAGTTTATAAGTATCATGTAATAGGGGGCAAGCCTATTGCCATATATCGGGCACAATTCCAGACTCCGTGCTACTACTGAGATTTTTCTTTTTAAACTGTCAAACACCAAGCGGTCACCGGTGACCGCAACCTATTGTTCTTTAATTGTGTCTATAAATACGGTACTCGACGAGTTAAAAACCCCGTAATACTTTGCTCTACCCTGGAATCGAACCCGAGACCCCTTGGCCGGTAGTCTCACTTGCGACCACTCAACCAACGAGGCTGTCAGTTACTTAATTATAATTAATATTAATTATTTTTAAAGGACGTAAGAATTATTTTAAGACTAATAAATACTATGTTATCTATCAATAAAATTTGCAGTTGGCACATATACTATACAGGTTAATTATATTGTTTTATGCCCCATTAAAAATACCGCTTGATATAAAAAATGAGGCCATTTCCAAGAAATTTTCAAGTACATTAGTGTATATTTACGACGTGGAAAACACGATTAAGTAATTGTTTTTATGGCGATTATCATATTAACGATAGCTCGATAGTCATGCTCAATCAACTCTCACTTATGCGAGCCTTATAACATTTACAATTTTATATAACCATAACTTTTGAATGAACACTGTATTCTGTAACTGATAAGGTGCAAATTTGTTTACATATAAGCAACTTAGTTCACGGAAAAGTGTGGATTTTTTAACAATCTGATAACCGTTTCCTTTTTCCTTAACATTGTAATAAAAATTTCGATTCTGTAAGATATAGATTAATTAACTCGTTGAACTAATAACGTTGTCACCTTTGAAGACAAGTCGTACAAATATAAACTCTTTTGGACGATTCGAAAAATTGTCAGTTATATACTGACTTCTAGTATGAACGTATGTATATTAAACTGTCAAACACCAAGCGGTCACCGGTGACCGCGACCTATTGTTCTTTAATTGTGTCTATAAAACCGGTACTCGACGAGTTAAGCTCTATCTAAAACTTCATTATAATGGCAATGTTAATAAAACTTACGAAAACTAGGTGTAGGTGCCTCTAAGAATCAGTTTCCTACTCGAAAACCAAATTATAGGCATACTACATAACATACATACATAACACACGCCTGTTATCCCCGAAGGGGTAGGCAGAGGTGCACATTATGCCACTGTACAATGTAACACCCACTTTTCACTATTTATGTGATGGGTCCCATGTAATAGGGGGTGAGCCTATTGCCATATACCGGGCACAATTCCAGACTCCGTGCTACTACTGAGATTTTTTTAAACCTAGTAATACTTTGCCCGACCCGGGAATCGAACCCGAGACCCCTTGCCCGGCAGTCGCACTTGCGACCACTCGGCCAACGAGGCATACTACGATAAGTAAAATACTTAATACAATTGAGGATGAAAGGACACCTTATTTATTGAAAAGGAAAACTTCACATATATTGTCCTCTTGAATGTCTTTCAAGTATGAGAGGCCAACCAAGGGCCTTAAAACACGTGGGAAGCATTTAATTTGTGCTACAGGCTCGAAGGTGAATTACATTAGAAAACATTTTATAGTAAAATACTTAATTGTCACACATCACAAGTCAAGGATTTGTCCCAGTTTCGCCTTTCACTACAGATCCGATTTATTTATGTCCGCTTAATGGTAGATCGGTATGCCGGTTACGTACGACTTATATCCGGTTGAGAAAAATGCAAGATTTAAGTTATTTACGTATAAGATTAGAATATTAAGGTCTCTACTTACGGCACTTTTACAAAAAACCGCTTGAATAATCTTACATTAACAATAATATATTATTTATTTACCCATAAAACGCTGTAAATAGGGTAATTAAATACAAGCCCAAGATAACAAAACCGATTGTTGATTACCCGCGCCATAATGTATGTGCATCACAATGTAAATAAAATGTAGCTAGCTTATAAATATTGATTCATTTCTACACGCAGTCACATTTGTTATCTGTGTAATTTTATGTTACATAACAGACTATACTATACATGCTATACATAACAGACGGCTGTAGCCTAATAAGGCATTGGAATGATAAAGTCATAAGAGAGAGGCCATCAGTGGAATGCAGCAGCAATGAAATGGGCTGATGATGGTGGTGATCCGTAATACAGTCTCACTGGACTGTTTCTGTCTTTAAATATAGTTACTATGTCTATAGTTACTAGTGGGATATTTTTCAGAATCTGCATACAATGTGGTCCTTGATCCCATTGCCAGGATAGAAGGCAAGGTTTTGTATTAATTATCAGTTGCGTTTGTCACCAATCAGTCGACTGACAAAGTGAATAAGTATTAGAATATTTTTAAATAAGTACGGATAATATAACGATACTTGCTACCCTTCAAGAAATCTAATATTGTATTTTTACAACAAATTAGACTAGATTATACTTTGAGCGGGTACCTACATAGTTTTCAACTCATAATGTATAGGTATAGTTTAGTCCATAAAACTGTACAATGCGCATACAATTATACATCTATATTTTCTATACAACAAAGAGATATGACTGAATTTGTTTTGCATATTTGGAGCACATTGTCCATGTAGTCCATTCAGAGCTGTTAATTCAATATTGATGTATAAAGTCGCCATTGACACTTTCTTTCTAAAATTTATACACATAAATTATTTTTGTTTAACATGTTGTCGAGTCTAACTTCAGACAAACACCACCTCTGAGGTACTTAAACAGTATTATGATTGGACAAACTTTTAAATAAAAAAAACATTGCCCCACACTAGGATTTTCTCCTGTGTCGTGGGTGCGTTTACAAACACACAACATACAAACATACAAGTGACACAAAGAGTTGTTCCGTGCGGAAATCAAAACTAAGACAGATGATGTCACAGATAAAAAACATTTGTAACCTTTGCCATTTATGTAGGTATAATCTGTATCTTGATTTTGGGTATTCCAATAGTTTTAATAAGAAATTCCCTTCTTAATAAACTTGTAATAGATGAGTCACCTTAAAATCTTCATTAAACAAGTTTAATGGATGAACTAACTTACCTATCACATAAGAGGTTCCGCCTCTCATCCGACCTGTATGGATACAGCTTTTTATGGGCCGCGCGCTGCACCTTCGCTAAATATACCTGCAATACAAACACTTCAGTTAAGGAAGATACCACAAGCTACAACATTTGCACAATATTTGCCTCATTTTTCTTACATGAAAGAATAGTAGCGGCCGTTTAAGAGTTTTTCGGCAAAAGCTTAAATTTTGTTTCTAATTTAGAAATCGTATGAATGATGTATCTATATCTATATCTAACTAGACTTTTATTGAAATAGGCAAAAAGGCTGAGTTAAGCGTTGACATGCTTCGACGATTAGCATTGTTTGTAGTCATTAGAGACGTCTCGCCTTCGCAATATGTAAGAAAAGTTAACGCAGAAGTTTAATCTACATAAGTACCTAAATCATTATATTCATCTTTTGAGGTCAATTTTACACGACTAAATCATCATTTTTCAGGCAAATTCTTCAAAGAATGCTAAAAATCATCAAAGAATCGGTTGGTAGTATTCTTTTGCGCACGGTTACCGAAGAATTACTTTATTTTCTTGGTTGGGGTCGTGTGCAAAACGTGCGGGATAAGATAAGAGAAAATAGTTCGGAGGACGTTTGCACACAGCACTACATCGAGCCAGCTTCGAGCAGATAGCGGATTGATTTCTAGCGAGAAAATACACCGAATACTATTTCATTAAACCTCTATTTCAATTGGTTTTAAAGATCTTTATTTCAATGATGTAAAGTCTAAAAATTTTTACAGTTAAATAATTTTAACAGACATTCAGAGAGTATTCTAAACTCTACTTTCAAAACTTAACTACTATCAAACCAATAAAACTGTGTAACTGAAGAATTGTATTGTGAAACTGATGGGAAAAGTTACCTATGGAGTTTCTTGCTCGTTCTTCTCCATAGGAATCTACACCTTGGAATGAGCAACTAGCTTCACTTTTAATTTTTTTTGTTGTTGACGTTCAAAAGTGCCTTCCTGGTCTAATTGAAATAAATGATTTTGACTTTTTGACTTTTTAAGATAAATATGTGCCATATCATGAAGTACTTAAGAATTCACTTCAAAATATTATTTAAGTAGGTAAGTATACATATTTCATTTATGTGTAGATAACAAAAGACTGAAGTCCTACTACTACAACATTGTCTAGTAAACGAGCCGAGTGCAAACATCTAGGTATTTATTTATGGACTTGGCTGGCTGGTGGGTGTCGTCAAATGCTATCGACAATTAGGTACCTATAGAACTTAGTTATTCTTTGTTGAATGTCCATTCATATACTTCGTTATGTTTATTTATTGCTATTAGACGCCCGTATGCATTATTATCAGATCAGCGTAAGAATATCGAGGGCCGATTACCAGTCACGATTGTTGCTTAGGGCAGTTTCTCTTGCAATATGAAGGGGCTATTGGAACGGTAAAAAAAACATAGAGTTATAGACTGAAATAAACCATATCTTTTATTCAGAAATTATTTCTGATACTATCTTCGTAATTATTTAGAAGAAGTGGAAAAAAGAGATCAAACATAGAGCATAACTCCAAATTGATTAAAGTCTGGGTCATAAAAGGCATGCTGATTAATTGTACCTTAAGGCTCTTACCTTGGACCCTTCGAAGAGCAATGCCACAAAGAACAGCACTATCCAGGTGATGGCGAAAGACCAGCGCGAGGTGATGTTCAGCCCGGAGAACATGAACTCCCCGAGGTCGTAGCCGAACCATAGCCACATGTGCATCATCCTGCCGGCTCTACAGGACCTGAGGGAAAATCAAGATAAAGGATAAGTATTAAAGCCTGACTCATGACATTGGCAAAGGTAAAAAATAACCTCTCATTCTTTCTTTGTTAAAACAAAGAACTTTGACCATGGCTGTGTCGTTTTAGTAGTTAATATTTAAAACGGACGACACACTATAGTATTATTCATACTCGAAACAAATTATTTACATAGCAATATTGCTAATCTGCTGTTGTAAATTGTTGGTCCATAAATAATCTAATTCGTTCCAGTTAAGTCCAAGCCCGCATTGTTTCAAAGTAAGTAGGTACATTAAAACGGCCATGGCCGATCCCTTCACTGTTACAAAGCGAAGAAATTCTCAAGCTGTTACAATACACAGATTACACGTATAGTAAAATGATACAAAATTACGCCCGTTTTCCGAAGGTCTTCATTTTTCGCAAACCCCATTGGGATCCGTGACTGTGCATTACTAGATAGTTACTGACAGCCAAAATATCATGAGTCAATAGATACTCTAGCCGTCTTCACCAATTTCTCTGGTTCAACAAGTTGCTAATAAATACTTAGATCCATTTTAAAATTCATCTGACTTGTAACGGCCAGAGATTTACTTAAAGACTGTAAAATTAAATGCGAAAAATCAGGTAGACTGTGCTCTGAATATCAACATGTACATACATTACATATGTACATCATAACACAGAAAATATTAAAAGTTTCAAGGACCGTTTGTATAGTGGAACGACTTGCTGCGCGTGAGCGACATAAAACATTTTACATTCGCGAGAATGCGGCTGCGCAGGTGAAAGTGAAAAGTTGTCAATTTGAATTTAAAGGGCAGTGAGAATGTTAATTAAACACTTTTGGTGAAACAAATTATGATACGTGACGGTTAAGCATGGGGCATTCAGGCAAGCAAAGTTTGCACACGAATTAGAACGGACATAAATTCTGTTAGTTTGCGCCAGTCACGGATGTCATGAATTCACCCTCTCTCCATTTGCCCTCGCCCTCACTTTTAAGAAACAAGCTACACAATTCTAGGCTCCTGCTTCCCAAAACTTGCAAAGGAAAGATGGTCTAGTCTAATTTGAAGACAAGTGCATGAAGTACAATGACACCAACTTTTACGAGAGCGCGAAAACAGTATTGTTTTGAACAATGCCTTTGGAATTGAGACTTCAAATGGGAGGATGCGGCGGTATTACCTCATAATCATTCATAGGTTTAGTCCATTTCTCTTGTTTATTGTTTTTGCGTATTTATTATAAATTTATCAAAACGTCCCAATGTTAATCAATAAATCCATGATTAATAAAGATACCTAATTGATATTAAAGCTGGAAAGGATTAGTTTATGTTTCAACGCCTCATTTAGAATTCTATTCTACAACACCATTCATTCGAAACTGAACTCAAAATATCTAGGTACCTACTTAATTAAGTCGCTATTGAGAAAATTGAGGAGATGCCCCGTACATTAGGCATATCTGCCTATTCACGGACCAAAACTGTAGGACATCACTCATCATGTCATCACAGATCAGTCTTCCCGGTTATAAATAAAATTGCTTCCTTCCATTAAGCACCCTTGACACGTACGACTGCAGGGGACCGTTTTCAAAGCAATTTTCATATCCTGACGTCACCGTTCACTGTCCATCGAAATTATAATTCAAAATAATAAACGTAATGGTTTTATTTCATACAGATATTTTAGTTGCGTTTAATTGTTGTTTTAATAAGGGCATCAAACACTGCAATGCAAATTTTACTTTAGAGAAAGGCAATAAAGTTAGTTTTCCAACATCACGGATACTTTTAACCAATCGCAGTAAATACTGGAGCATTATGTATGAAACTGTGAGTAATCCTTATCAGCAACGGCCGACGTAAAATTCGATAATCATGTACAAAGTTCCAGTCAATGAACTGTGTGTATCGATCCATCTCTCGCTTAATTGATACACGTTATAATTTTAATTATGGCAACGTATTTGGAATTTTAGTGCAAATCTCAGATGTTATCTGTTATTATATTGAAACTTTATTGAAATTGAGGAATGTCCCTCGGCGCTTAGCTATGGTTATTTATTACACAATTTTTTTGGCAGATCACAAATAAAAAATAATTAACTAGCTCCGGATCCCTGTTTATAACAAGTCAAAATAAAAACGAACTTACAGCATAAAAATAAGAGATCATCCTGAAAGCCACAGTTATCACAACACCAAAATAACTGTCCACCGATTCCTACTCTGACTAAACAAGGGCTAGTCTACAAGTGTCAGCGTCGACCATAACTACTGGCTGTTGAACTACTGTTATTGTAAACACCTTCGAACAATGGTATTAATTATAAAACATGTGTGCTCGAAATTATTTTTCGCCAAACCGCATTGTGATTAGGCGAACTGACATCAGTAGAGTGACTATGATTGAGGCCTTGTGGGGGATGTTACAGATTTTTGTAAATGAATAAGAATTAACTAGATTTTGCTCGGGGCAACCGCTGTCAGACCTTCACCGGTCACCCTTACAGTGAAAAATAGTTAGTAAAATGTCTGATTTTTTACGGATGAGTAGAATATGAGTAGACCTAGACGACAACGATTTTGATTTTGACTTTGATCGCCTGATGGTAATCTATTGGCGCCACCAATAGACCGGCAACAGTACCAGACGAAGGAGTTATAACTAACTACATTAGTTACAAATGTGTTGTCATACAAGGAGTGCGCTATTTTCTTCAACGCTTTCACCACAGAATAATACTTTCACATGTAATTTGTAAATGACATGTAAGGTTCCTAGGTGTTTTCCATAAGTAATCAATATATTTTTTTATGGAATAGGAGGCAAACGAGCAGACGGATCACCTGATGGTACCTAAGCGATCAGCGCCGCCCATGGACACCCGCAACACCAGAGGAGTCACAGGTGCGTTGCCGGCCTTTTAAAAAGGAATACGCTCTTTTAATTTACTGGTAATTAATTAGACCATTTTCTATGTTGTGCTAATGTGATAAGATACCTTATGTTACCTTACCCTACTTCGCTACTAGTTTACGTTGCGTTTAACTAAAGCCAGTTGTGTAACCGTTGTTCTACTTCCAAAAATCCAATAAACATATCAGTTGCGACATAATGAGCATAAAGTTTAAGTTAGGTTGTCATGTACGTCTATGTCGTCGCATACGGATACAAGGAACGAAGGAAATGTTAATATTGAATAGCGCATAAACGTAATGGATTTGTTCGAGTTATATCTAAATCATGGTCGCCGTACGAGTGACTCAATGATAGTTGTGCATATAAATAATAGGGAGAATCGAATCATGTTTTGATAATCTATCAAGCGTGATTCGTTTGTTCTTACTACTCATTCATTTCGTTGTCTCGTGTAAAGCCAAATAATAAAGACATCTATTGCACAATCAAGTTTTTTGTTATTACGTATTGTATTGTTGTCTCAGTTGACTCTCCTGAAATGGAGCCCAAAGCTTGAAGATCCCTGTGAAACAGCTTTTATAACAATGGCATGAGGAAGGCTGGTTCTATGGGATATCACGTGTCTGTTAAATTATCCAAAATGACATATCTATTGATGTTCACAATAAATGATTAATGTAACTGTTTGACGAGACACTCGACTAGTTTCAAGCCATGCTAGAGGCTCATATTCATGAGCAGCATTCCGCGACCCGCAACGCGGCGACTGTTGCGCTGCTGAAACTAGTCGAGTTCCTCGTCAAAGTCAAACAGTTACGCGAGTAAGCCGAAAACATAATAATTAACTCGTCGAGTACCGGTTTTATAGACACAATTAAAGAACAATAGGTCGCGGTCACCGGTGACCGCTTGGTGTTTGACAGTTTAATTAGTATGTCTCACGAAAGTTTTAATATAAAAAGATGAATGGTTATCTGTTTTGGTAAGGAGATACTTAAAAAAAGGGGTGAATGACTAATGCATAACCCCGAAGTATGGCAGGAAACGAGAAAACCCATACTAATCAACTAGGTAAAGATTCTGAGCTAAAATAATAAAAAATGAATAAAATCTTATTATAATATTAAACTCCCTTTACAGTTTAGTTTGAGTTAAAGCTCACGCATCAATGCGCAATGCGCATAATGTTACGATATGACCATCGCTTCCTAATAAATACATACTGCGAAGTAATAAAAGGTTCAGAATATCAAATTCGGACTACTATTTATTTACCTGCTGTAATTGACAAGTATACCTACTCTTATAATCAAGGAAATAATTTATGGAATCGACATTTGACAACGTAGTGATCGCACAGACACGTAATATTTTTTAATTCTCTGGTTTTGAACGCAATTAATAAGACCTTAGTTTTTCGCAAGTAACGTTATTATCGTTAGACCAAGACCCATTCTAATTGAGGTCAAACCTATTTACGCATCCCCGTCCGCAATGACAAATTACTTGTGAAACTGTCTTCGACTGTGAAGGTAAAAGTTTATGCATAAAGTTATAGTTACTTTGATTAACTTCAAACTTTTATAAGACTTAATTCCATGACGCCAATGGCCTAAGTTGAATATCCTCAAATCACAAACAAACTGGTTATGCACTAAGAGATACCTAAATACCTATATAATGTATTTTATTTTGTTTTGACATTTTTCAAAAGGAACCAGTTTAGAGAAAGGAAAAGACAGGATTACTGGTTCTTGGATCGACGGCCAATTCTGAAAAGGACCTTTATGGGGTTTTTTTTTTAAAGGCGGAATATCATCGAATGACTGCTCCCGCCTGGGTGAGGCGGAAGGGAGTGTCAGACTCTTACTGACTAAAAACCACCCCGTTCCTTCTCCTGCACGTCGAGCCGGAGCCCCGGTTACCCGTTAAGTTCTCCGCGACTCCGAATCGGCATCGGCCCTATTGGGCCCCATCTGTGGTGGTCTGATGGCTCTTTGAGGCGCGCGCGGAACGCGACGCGCCGTACGCTCGGGCCTGTTTCTGGTCGGACGGGGAGCCACCCATGCTCGCCGTCCGCACCTTTTATGGGGTGCCACTCGAACTCTCTTGAGCAAGTCCGACTCTGGTACTTTTCAGACTTGCAGCTACGCCTCGACATATATTTATTTATCCCTCATGGTATCCTCGGAGGCTCAGACCGACGGTGTAAAATATTCTTAATCTATGCATTTAAAACTCGGTTATTCGGTTTCGAAATAAACTTAAGAACGAAACAGGTAGATGTACATAAATAAAAAGGTAAGTTACGTATTTATTCAATTTTCCCGAAACCTTGACGGTGTTTGTCTTCATACGTGTTACAAGTGTTCAATTTAAGTATTTACTTAGTTGTGTTTGACGAAATAAGCTGAATTAAAGAGGATAACAATATTTTCTTACAGGTGTGAGCAGTTTTACTGCCTCATCGGGTATTAGAAACATGTGTTTGGTATTCGAATCCAAGAACAGTCCACCGGAACAAGTAAAAGTTTTAAGTCAATCCAGAGGCGTACTTTTTTTTTAAACGTTGGCCCACACTAGTGTTTTCTCTTGTATCGTGGATGCGTTTACAAACATACAAGTCCATATACACATGACACTCAGACCCAGACCCGAAACAACAATTTGTGGATCACACAAAGACCTGCGCCGTGCGAGAATCGAACCCACTGCATGTTGCACGGCAGCCGTTGCTCTGCCACTGCACCAACCAAGCAGTCAAGTGTAGTATTATCCGAAACGCAAACCAGGCAAGTGCCTAGAGCGCTATATCAGGGACACCATGAAACCGCGAGCCGTGCTGTCCCCAAAATAATTATGGGCGCCTATGAGGTGCTTGCCTAGGGTGCTTTCTAAATTTATCGGCGTCTGACTCAATCTCATTAAAATATTGGCGCCACCAATTTGGTGATAACACATCATTAAATTATTTTTTCATTTTTATTTATTTACACTTCTGTATAATAAACATACGATGGCGGACTTAATGCCGATTGCCGAAATTAAATTATAATGTCTATGTACAGATTTTAAACATACACACACTGGACATTACCAATACTTGTCCAATTACCTTTCCATTACTGCCACTTACATTTGTTTTATCAGTAAATGAAAATAATACTTAATGAGCTGGCTGAACACTTCATTATAAATTGAAAATGACGAAGTAGATTGTAATCAGAGTTTCTTCTCTAATAACTATGTTATTCTTATCAACTCTATGTACAATTGTACAGCGTAAAACTTTTGGTAAACACTGATTTTTAAAATTGTGAAAATATACTAATATTTTTATATTACCTATGTGTATCAAAATCAAAGCATTTACTTCTTTTAATTAGACCATAATTTGGGACTTTGCAACATCATCAAAATAATAGTCTGTCAGTCTGTCCGTCAGTGATTGACGTCAAACTACAAAAAAACTGAATTAATTAACTCGTCGAGTACCGGTTTTATAGACACAATTAAAGAACAATAGGTCGCGGTCACCGGTGACCGCTTGGTGTTTGACAGTTTAAAGACAACATTTAGTATCACAGTAGATGTGAAGCTGCACATGTTCCAGGCGAGTTATGGAAAAATATATGAAACCTGGGACCACCTTCCAATAGTATTATAAGGTGTATTGTTTGTTTAGAGATATAATAAATCCTATCAATGTTACCCAAGAACATATTGAGACAAAACATTAAAGAAAGGGTGGCAAACATCTAGTATATTACAGTTTTAAACATTAATCATGCAGAAAATACAAATATTGTAGTATTTACGACTGTATCTTATTAAATATCATCAGTCAATTAAGCTTGTTAAGATATCAACTGATAACATACTTTTACATTTGTTTACGATAACTGATAATTGTGTTATTATTATAACATACTGCTCTCTGTAATTGTGTGTGAGCAGAGTCAATAGTAAATCCATGCTACACTAACAAGTGGGGAAATAGTTATTATTCCACTGAAGGAATGAATTTACAGCACAGCGACATGCACCCGCCCACAGATATATGGCACAAGCAGCGGGAGCTGCAGAGTCAACAACTCACAAGGATGCTCTGTGGAGGGTGGTGCTGCATAACATGCAATGCTGCAAAATTTTATCATATATCATTATTACTTTAGCGGAATACAATTTCCCCACTTGATAGTTTTAATGTTTTAAATCATAGGTATTAAACAAAATGCTTAAGTTAGTGTAATTGGAATTGTAATGAATACTCATAGAAAAAATTATTTTATTGCATTTAAATTGCATTTAAAAACCGACTTCTACACCCTCTTTTTAGCAGTTGGTTAATAAGTATAGGTACTAAAACCCTTAAGTGTAACAAACACTTCTGAAAACTGGAAAATCAGTTCAGCCAATCGCCAGATAATTGGCCAGAAACATATAAAGTAGTACATACATACATACAGGTGAAACTTAGAACGTCTTTCTTTTTTTAAAAAGTAAGTATACGAGCATGACATAAAATTATCATGACGTAAATATTTCATTCAAATTTAATTAAATTCTAGGTCTACTTTTTCCAATAGTACCAGTACTAAAAATTAATCTAATTTCTTATTTTATCACCAATCTCAAATCAGAAATCTAACCCAAATTATTCAAAAAAATTTCTCTAATTATCATTATTACCTTTATAATTGTTACATAAACCTATTGCGAAAGTAATTACAATATTATTAGCATGAAGGCTGTTCCCATTATTATTAGTAACATTGCACTCACCTTTAAATCAAGAGAATGTTTTTCTAACTGGGACTCTTCAAGTCCCTACGATCCATGAATTTGTTTACCAACTGTATCCACGATATCACACTAAACGTCCATCGTTATCACACATTTTATTGATAAATTAGAAAGTAAATAATTATAACAAACACCTGATAAATTTAACCACTCTTTTTAAAACGTTACACTGATTTTATGTTACAAATTATTCGTTCTAAATATTACAGTTGATTTATATTCTATGTTAAATCAAGTGAACGTACATTACAAGTGAATTTATATCCGCATAATTTTGCACACAAATTAAACCGTCAACTACATTCAGCAAAATACCAAATTATTTCAATTCAAGACTGTCAAAATGTCAACATTGTTAACTACTGTCATGTGCCCCATCTGACATTTGTCGAAAACTGTCAAAATTGGCTACGTTTAGTTGCACATACTGTTTATTTTGTTTAATTCATTTACGAAGGAATAAGATCCTGGATTAAAAAACTTTGTTTAAATAATAGACATTTCATGGAGATTATTTTGATACAGTAAAAATAATATAATCCTCAACGAAATTACGATCGAAACTAAATGGAAAAGTTGCTAATTTGTCACTGTCATGTGTCACAGTGACAGACTAATAGTTACTAAACATGTTGTGACTAGTTGTTGCTGTTTTCCCAAGATAATTCCAATATTGATGATTCAAAACCTATTTAATCTTATGTAATTTCATGTAAGTAATAACAATTCACAGTAAATATCTTCTAAAAGTATATACAATTCCAACAAATCATGGAAGTCGGCCACCAGAAACCGAAGAAAAGACCAACAAAAATTGAGGAGATGAGTAAGGAACAAATACGTCAGGCTATTCTAAAGAAACGTGAGTGCAATGCAAGAGCCCAACAGATTGTCGAGAGCCTCTTAGAACAGAGTGTTACAGAAACATACTTGCTACAATGCTTGCCAGACATTAACCAGGCTCATTTTGAAGATATCTTCGAAGAACGATCCATTATCCACTTGTGTGGCTATCCATTATGCCCGAAGACATTGTCAAAGAAAGATATACCTAAACAGAAGTACAGAATATCATTGAAGACTAACAAAGTGTATGATATCACAGCCAGGAAGAACTTTTGTAGTAACGCATGTTACAATGCTGCTTTATACGTCAAGAAACAGATGTTGACCAGCCCGCTGTGGTTCAGAGAGTATGAGATCATTCCGACATTTCACCTCTTGAAGGTAGATGCAAAGGGATCAATGGGAGAAGAAGTAGATGTAACACTGAATGAGAGAGTTAAAATCACAGACACATCATCATTTACTTCAGTTGATGATTTCACTAATGCAAGTCTAAATGAAATGGCTCCACCAACTGATGAACAAAACAATGAAGAAATAACTACACAGAAACAACAGGTAGGCCATGATAGTAACTATCAAAATGATGTGATCAAAACTATTGCTTTGATAAATGAAGGAATTGAGAATATTGACCTAAATAGTGATGACAATCAGAATATGTCTAACACATCAAATGTTAATGCAAATCCTGAAGACAAAAAAGAAATTACCCCATCATCTCAAGTAGAGGAAAAAGTTAACATTAAAAACTCGAAATCTGAACAAGAAAAATCTACTAAGAAAATGAATAAATCCGAAAAAAATCCACTAAACATTGTTGGTGAAATTATAGAAAAGCCTGAGAGGAAAATTGACCCAATATTAACAACCCCTGTTACTACAGCTAAAGAAGAAAACAAACCCAGTAAGAAGGTGCCACAAAAAAAGCAACCTTTGGTAACAGCCCTAACTATTGAAGTTGAAAAATGTTTGGGTGAATGGTTTACATTGGACACTCTCCTCTTGTTATTTGGGGAAGACAAAGTGAGAGAAATGGTAGCTGATAAAGGAGACTGTATAAGGGAATATCTGAACAACTATGCTAAAGGAATATTCTACAATTCAAATGTTTATGACCAATACCAAGCACTATGTAAGAAGCTCAACATGTTGGAGCTAGAAGATAGGAAGTTTGATAACCAGACTCTGAAGAGAGAGACCAAACCTCTACCAGACTACACTATGCTGCAAGAAGAGAGTAAGAAGATGCAGTTGAAAGTGAAAGCTTTCTTCTCTGGGGAGTTGGAAGTACCAGAACCAGTGGCTGAGGAACCCATCCAGTCTTCAGAAGCAATAGATGAAGAAAATACCACAAACTTGCCTTTAGTAGACAAGAATTCACAAAACGCTTTGCGCAGGAGAATAGTTTGCCATCATTTGAACAAAGCATTACCTGACATCCTCCGATCTCTTGGCCTACTCAGTCTTTCCATAAGTTCTGACATTCGTTTGTTAGTAAATACCTTTAATTTGAAGGCAAATAACATTATGTTTAAGCCTATACAGTGGACATTGATAGCTATTATATTTATTAAGCTTTTGTCTCTACGGGATAAGAGACTGGAGCATTTGTTGGAGCAGCCGACTGCATACCAGCACATGCAGTTGTTACTGCTTAGTTATAAGCAAGATGGCGGCTACTTAGATAGACTTATATGCTGGCTTACTGATGTAGATAGGCTATTAAATACTACTGATACACAATTGACTATAGAATAAATGTTCATACTGTAAATCAGGGTGAATAGAATTCAAAGGGTGAACATTTTTCCATCATTGATTCACTCCTAGAATTGTATTCGCCTCCTTTTACTGTACTTAATTTATTATCCTTGTTTTTTTTACTCCCCTCCATAATGTAACAAAATGAGAAACCAGCAAATAACTTAAAAATAAAATTCATTTATTGTAAATTAACTTATAAATCAACTGCTTAAATTAGGATCTAGTATCGACAGTGCAGCACCAACTAGATGCAATGACCCTGTGATTAACACGGACGATCTCTCGACATTTTCACACTTCTTCAAACTGACCAAGGCGTCTGCAACGCAACTAGCGACGGTCACATTCGTACAGCTTTTTTCAAAGTGTTGCCAGATCTCTACGTGTTTTTCACATCTGGCAATAAGTTCTTCTTGTTCTACCAAAGAGTAGTTGTCATTGTTTTGTCCAATATTTCTGTAAGCGGTCGGGATAACAAAGTAGACGGATTTGAAACCCACATGTTTTAATGGCTGCAGTAATATTTCGGCATTTCTGTCGCCCGTGGCACTGAATATCAGTATTTTGTCGTGTAATCTGAAAAATAAATCATACTGGGTTACTTTTCAAAATATAGGTATGAGATTTATTTAGATTAATGAGACTGTCTCGTAAAAGTATTCAATGAATAAGAAAAAAGCTCTTCCTAGTATCAATATACGCTTGTGAACATTATTAAGTTATTCAGCCTCACCTGTTAATATTTTGGAACCACTGCGCACATATTTCCATAGACTCCTTAGTGTGTGCTCCATCTAAGTAGAACTTGGCATAATCTGACTCCACAACCTGGTACCTCCCTGGCCACTTACATGAAGTTAGCCCCATCATAGTCTCTTTCGTGACACACTTCACTACCGTGTCTAATACTGGTTTGGTTAGGCCATTTTGACCGTTAACTACATGTTTAATGAGGCCGTTTTTCCTGTGGACTGGTTTGGTGATTCTCATCCAGGCGTGCGCTAGTTGTATGGCAAGGGAGGCGTTAGTCTGGTAAGCTTCTACGTTCACTGGCAAGTGAGCCGGTTCTGTGTTTGGGAATGCGTAAGTTTTGTAGTCTGGCACTACTGTTAGGGGGCACTGGAAAGAAATACACACAATTATTATTCCCCAAATAGCATTTTTGAGGGGTACAATAATTAAATAAATCCCCCACCCTGGATGAAGCAGAGAATGTCATTTTAATTAGTGATTTAGAATACACACCTTAACGCTATCAGCATAATTCCTCAGCACCTGCATAGCTTCAGGCGGCTGTGTGACAGTGTATGCCTCGCAGCCTGGCTTCATCACGCCTGCCTTAGCGCCCGCTATCTCAGGCAGAGTAGTGCCTAATATTGACGTATGGTCCAGGCCGAGGGCTGTTATACCGACCACTGGCACTTTTCTGAAAAATATCAGCACTTTTTAAGGTTTTGGCATTTGTAGACTTTTAAGGATTAAGCGAGAACGCAATACTTTATTTTATGTTACGAAACCAAATAAACAAAGAAACACTATTATCACAATTATTATGAACTAAATAAAATTATATAACGTTTCATTCAAATTAAAACCTTATTCACTACAAAACAAAGTTCAAAATAACACTACTGACCTTAAAACATTAGTATAGTCTACAATACCGCCGATGCCGACCTCTACGATGGCAACATCTACTTTCTCCTTCAGGAACACGTTATACGCCATCACAGTCAGGAACGCGAAGTACTTCGGCATGTCACCTTCGAACGCCTGCAACAATTAACAACTAAAGTTAGCCATAGTTTACTTTACTCTCGTAAAAAAATACTATTTATGGGATAAGGAGCCAACAAACAGACGGATCACCAGATGATAGGTGACCAGTGTCGCTCATGGAGAAACACTAAATGAGTTACCAGTGCATTACAGACCTTAGTCGCATTGTAATAAAGGCTTGAGCGCTAAAAATGGAGAAACTCAAAATGCTTGTTGCATTCGAAGATCGAACCCTAGGTAATGCACTGATATTGGTGTAACACTTTCAAATAAAATACCAGCCAATCTTACCTTGGTTCCATTTAGCATATCATAGACCTGATGGAAATGTTTCGCGAACTGTTCTTCGGTGATCACTCGTCCGTCGAGTCGGATGCGCTCGCGCACCGCTACTAGATGCGGCGATGAGTAAAATCCTGTACGGAACCCATGATGTCGAAGTATTGACTCGCACATCGCGCTTGTTGAACCCTGGAAGCAATATTTTACTTGTTAATTGGAATAGAAAACTGACATAATGTACTTTTCTTATAATAAGTAAATACATAAATAATACTTCTAAATATGTCACATTTTCAAATACAGAAGCACCGACCACGTATTTTTTATTGACGTACTTATCCACGTATTCGAATTAGTGGAAGAAAACTATATCATTCCACATAAAAATATTGTGAAAACTTATTTCTAGAGTTTAAGCGTTTTTTTATGTGATAGGGCAAATAAACAGACGGATCATCTAATGATAAGTACCTAATCGGCGCTGCTCGCACCTGCAACACTATAGCAGTTAGATGTGTGTTGACGAATTTAAAAAAAAAGTATGTACAAATTACCTTTCCTTTAGTCCCAGCAATATGTATCACAGATAGTTCGTCCAACTTTGCCATAGACACGCCAGTCCTGGACAGATAGTACTCCATATCTTCTATGTTTGTACATTTCTGAAATGTTCAATACAATACAATATTTTTTATTAAAAAGATTTGAACAAATACAGATTTTTTACTTCTAATTTTTATTTTGGAGCCTTACATAAAAATACTGGCTGAGACTGAGAAATTTATAGTTTTAGAAAGAAATTAAACATGAATAAAATATATGTACTATGCACGAAATAGGTATCATTACATCATATTTATGAAAAAGAAATATATTATAATTAAACTACTTCATAAGTACGAAAACATTAAAATATATCAGAATGTAGTGCTTAAAAGTAATTATGTATAACTATAACTATACAACAGTTCAAGAAGAAAGTAATACAGTCACAATCAAAATGATTTACCTTTTTATTGGGAGTTTGAATTATACTCACTTGTCCAGTTTTTATATCTTTTCTAATCTGGTCTATAGTCGCCTTGTTTGACTGCAGAACATTCAGTTTGCGGACAGCCTCCTGAAATGTACAGAGAACATAAATGATACAACATCGAACCTCTATATTTTACTCCCTAAACGGATAGACAAACAAGAAGTCATGTTAAATGTGCAAGCAAGGGTTCTTTGTTTCGATTGGGTTGTGCAAAGTATTACTGGGTTTTTAAAAATTCTCAGTAGTAGCACGGAGTCTGGAATTGTGCCCGGTATATGGCAATAGGCTCACCCCCTATTACATGGGACTCATAACATATTTATTTATTTATGTACACACATTCAACACAGAGGACAATACATAATAAAAAAACAGAGTACATAGGCCCCACATATTCCAACTGGAATTTCTTCCTGTGGGCCTGTGGCAGGAAAAGAAATAACAACACTGAGACACATAGTGTGTTACACAAACAAGATAAAAATCAATTAATAAAAAAAAAGTAATAAGATCGAAGAAACCAATAGAAATAACAATAATAAACAATAAAACAAACTAACACAATACAATTATAATACATAAATATAAATAAATACCTCTTTGAGGATAAAACGCTTGATGTTATGTTATATTTTTTTAAATCTTTATTTAATAAGAAGGGCTTTTTTCCTAAGAGGAAAACGTTAGCCCTATTATAGGATACAAAATTCAGTACAAAAAATATAGCAGCTAAATCGCTTATAGGTTTAACTAGCCATTAAGCTTAGACACAAAATATTTTTAATGATACAAAAAGACCCTTTGCCCGGCAGTCGCACTTGCAACCACTCGGCCAATGAGGCAGTCAAAAAAAAATATATATACAAAATAATCAATCATAATTTGATTAAGGTTTAGTTTTTAAATTTGTCTAGCAGCTAGTAATAAAGATGGTATATTCATGAATTTGTAATTAAAACTTGTAATTTCAAGGAGCCTAATTGAATTTGTATGTTGTATGATTAACACTTAAATTGTTATCTACATATTCTTAGAACTATTATTAAGTTTATATCAGGAAATTCGTAACTGAAGGACATTGCCGCAGACAGCATATATTAAGTGTTTAAAATAACATTACACTTACAAAATTATTCTTTCAAAAAGTGCAAGCGATTTTCAACTTTATTATAATAGACTTAGAACCAATATGGACTGTGTAAAGTAAATGATATTGCAAAATTTTATTTCTTTCCAATATCAACCTTATGTTAAGGATGTAGAGACCTGTAAATTGTCTGTTCGTGTCTAATGCATTTTTTACTGTAGTTAAGATGTTATCGCGTGATATCATCCTTTCACAATTTTATTTATTTTTTACTTAGTGGCCTAGTTTGAGATACATTCAAGGTTGTATTACAGAGATTGCCACCAAGTATAATGACATAATGTATAATTTCTCAATGGAACTATGAAATAAAATACCTTATTTAAAAAAAAATGTTTAGAAAATTGTAAAACATCAACCACAATAACTGCAATAGAAAAAGAGCGAAATACTTAAGTTTTCAGGTAATTAGAGGTAACTGCAATGATTCTGAACGAAATAAATTACAGAGTTAAAAGCTAGACAACAAAATAAAAACAACTAGACAACAAAATGTTTACAAACAAACAAACAAAATATCTATGCACATAAATTGAAATCTATACTCTTGTGTAATATAAAAATTAGTCAAGCCGAAAATTAATGCTTGTAAAAACTAATGCACTTCCAGGAAACTTTCTAAAACAGTGATGTGGCAATAAACGTCATCTTAAAAAGATTTAGCCGTAACAAAAATGACCGCTTGCGCAATGGTTGCACCCGAGGCGAAATAATAAAACAAATATAACGTCAGACTCGTACCTCGTAACTTGTCTTCGTCGAACACATCCTTACAGCTACACTACTGGCTAAACAACTACGGAGCAAACGGACGCTGTTCATCAGTGCGTCATCCGTCCAATGGACGGTTACAACGCAATTAGGTATAATAGAAATAAATGAAAAAACAGTGACCTCGTCGTGATCGACGAAAGAGTTAAATCACATGGCGGTTTTCTTGTTCTCCTGCTACTTATCGATGAGGCATACGACATTTGACCCTCATACTGGCTATTGTCATAACATCAAACCGATTTGAGCCGGTAATTAGTACATAATCTCTTCCTCGAACCAAACAATTAACAAAAATTACGTAAACATAACCTCAAACAACATGTGGAATTGACACTTGACAGTGACGTGACAGTGACGGCATTTTCTCTGACAGCTGATTTCGTTTAGTAACATTATTTTTATCATTTTGGAGACTCGTTTGCCAAAGAGGGGGAAAAAAATTACTTTATTTTATTTTCTATTATAATAGTTTTTTTTGTAAATATAAATAAACAGGCTTTGTACCTCATCATGTACTTACTTTATCAAAAGTTTCATATATAAAAAAGTCTATTCGTGCCTGAAAGTTGCATTGTCTCATTGTAAAAAAACTTTAGGAAATATCCGAAACACCAACGTAAAACCAGGTAAAACCCAAGAAAACCCAGGGAAATGACTTTTTGCTGGGTTTATTCATTATTGATTAATAAGTAATAAATTCATAAATAAATAAAAAAATAATCAAGGACGTTGAAAAAAGGTAATAAATTTCAAATAAAAAACAAATATTGACAAACTATGAAAAATTTGTGAAAAATAAACCAATTTGACAAGAAAAAAAAATTTGACAGGATTTTTTGAAATCGATTTCTTTGGTTTACAACGGCAAGTGCGTAAAACCACTTCGAGGACTTTTCTTAGATATTTTTATTTGAACTTCAGGATAAATCTTGATTTGCATTTCTTTTTCACTACTCCGTCTCAAGTCAAACTCATATAACATGACGGAGACCGACAGTACCAAACGACCACTGTTAATGCCTGAAAAGTTTTTGCCTCACCTAGAGAAGTTTCGGGTTTACCAAATGATGAAGGTTTTTTTAATTTTACGTAATATGGTTTTATTCGTGACCACAGTAATGATATTCGCTCATATTTGCTGTCAAGTTTCAGTTAATCTCGATCAGTTAGCATTAGTCACCTCCCCCCCCCCCACACACACACACAGCGTCTAATAGAAATATAGAATACTGTGCGTGTGCACATACTACTACAAAGCTTAAACAATTTTCTCTTCTAAGGACATGGTCAGGAACATCGTAATACACCTGCCTAAGGATCATCTTAAGCAAATGAAGATCTTTGCGACCCGCCACATACATACGAGTGAGGCGTCTCGTATAGTATTACTTATTGAACCTGGTCTTGATATAGGTAAGTATTTTGTTACGTATAAATACAAAGAAAACTATCAATCTATAACCAGACAGACAGTAATGCAAAGGAATCCTGATGCAGATTTGAATTTCATAAAATGCTCTTCTTGCCCCTCTATATCCAAAGCAATTCTCAGCTATTAATGAGATTTCTATTTCATTGCATAATAATAATAAAGGAAGGAAAAGTTGGAAATCCATTAGTTTCGTAGTAATTGGAACTGTAAATAATATCACTTTTTCTTAATATCTAGATGTATACGGCCTGGCAAAGCATTTGATAAAAGATTTCGGTTGCTTCGTTATAACACGTCGCTGCGTGATGGATCGCTATGAAAAAGTAATGTGTATTGCACGTTTTTAATTGCTATCGATTATTCGGTATCGTAGATGTTGGTAATCGATTTCACATATCTTACACAGCATGACGATTACGAGCCCGGATGTGTGAATATTTCACTGATGTCTGAAGTGACAAAAGCTTTGACTCAGCGAGACCCGGTGCCACAGGCTGGGTGGCTGATGTTTGGTAATACTGTAGTTACTTTAAAATCTTTCCTACTATTCGCACCTACAACAAAAAGTAGCAACTTAGACTATATTGCCAACTAAGTAGATTCAATACCAACATTTTAATTTCTTCTCACAAACATGTCATAAATCCATACTTTTGTCCTATCAGGATACACATAAACGAACTTAACTCACTGATATATAAATAGGAATAATTTATAATAGAACAAATAAAAATTACAAAAAGGTACCTAATAAAAATACATAAAGGTGGCGTTAAAGTTATCTATAAGACGCAACAATGTTTTGTAACTGGACTTAGATCACCCTTGCACATTACGCGAGGCGCGCTACCTCCAACAAGATGGTGTCCTGCCCACGGTGACTCTGGTGCTGATGGCGACACCTCCCACCGCACCACCAGCCCCCTGCAACCACACTCCTCCTAGAAACTTTTTCGAGCAAGATTTTGAAGGTCTCAAGTATGCCTATAAAGCTACACTGAAGGTAAATTTGAGCCTTCTTTTAGCTTCTGGTAGGTAAATATTATTTCAAATCGTCAAAAGATAATGTAGTTATATTTTTTTTGAAGGAAGTACATCTTACTCCTGAAGATAGTTTGGATGCGATACAAACGAAGTGTTTCAACGCCATCCGCGCGTTTAATGCAGGCCATCAGGGACCGAAACAGGGGATGTGTGCTATTGGCGCTCCTAGCGTCTACCGAGTGCTACTTCTGGGGCCTCGTGGTTCCGGCCGCAGCTCTCAGGCAGTAGCGCTAGCCAAGCATTTCGGATTAGTCTTCTGTAAGTAGGGGTACAAATGGTGTCAATCGCGTGGCGTCTATTTTATTAGATACCAGCATTGTGTTGTGATTTAGCTTGTGGAATCTGTGGGATCGCGACGAATTCCTGAATTATCCTAAGTATTATCCACAGTGCACTTCGATGCGTTGCATAGAGAGTATGCAGCGAAGGACAATGAAATTGGAGAGAGAATTCGTAAGTATGGAACCAGCATTAGCCTCAGAGGAGATATGATCAAGGACCGACTGCTGAAGAAGGTAGAAGCTTTGAAACTACACTTCCTAATAGTGACTTATATAAATTAGACATTTTGAAATATCATATTTTACTTGTTGATTAGTGATTCCCCATAATATTGGGTAGGTTAGCTAACAATTTTTGACTTTGTAATTAACTTAATAAAATTATCTTTGGTTAGATTTTAAGCCTTCTTTAGGCATAGAATAAATAGGTCAGTCTTTTGACATCTAGGACTACTTATCTACTTATTATGATAGGACTGTATTGACCACGGCTGGGTGATGATTGGATATCCAACGAACGGACATGATTTCGAAATACTCGATGCATCGCCGACTCCTCCTAATCGGTGAGTGTAGTTAACTAGGTATGCAATCAAACTTGCAGAATTTAGAAGAAATTATTTGACTCAGTAAATCATTTCTAATTTAACTATTTAGGTATGTACCTATGAGTACAGTACATTTAAAGAAACTATTCAAGTTTCATTTAACACAAATCAAAAACCTTTTTGTGCGGCTTTTACTGGTCGACCAAATAAAACGACTGCAACTTGCATTTTCATTTCGTTCAGTTTAGTGACGTTGCTCTGGTTTAAACTACTTTCTAAGTGAAAGCTTGTAAAGTGATTGTTACATTTAGGTAGGTATTGAAAGATTGCTTCTCTACCTCTAGTACTACAGTATCAGAAAGTACAGCTGCTAGGCTATATGTAAGATGGCAATTCGGACTCTCGAAGTGAGCTCGATAGAGGGCCGCCATGTCATTGATTGTGAGAATAATCTCGATATGTCAATCAATAACGGGAGAAAATGTGATCGAGATCACTTAGTATTAACAGTTACAGAATAACCTAGCTAGCCGATTAATTAAAAGTCTACCTTCAGCATATTGTTTTTGAACTTGGACCTGGAGACATGTCGGCTTCGGACCCAGAACGAGGGCTTCGACACATGCACTGGCAAGAAAGCGCAGATGGGATCAGGACCAAACGTCATCCGCCACCCCGACCATGATGAAGTGCGTAGAGAATATGAGGTACAGTATGTAGTAATGCACTTACTTAAAATAACGAGTAAATAAAAAGTAGAACCCTGTAGACACTATGAAAAAGAACTCTCAACAGACAGAAAGTAGGTAAGTACCTACATACGATATTTCTTAGGTACTCCTTCCGGACATGAAATTCTTTATCCCATGGACCGAATGGAACCGACGAATGCGCAATAGCTTTGGTCTGTTGATGACGTCCAAGTCCATAACTGTTATACACTGACCTACATTCTAGGAGAGCTACACGGAGTACTAACACGTAAACAGCTATGCTAGCTAGCTACATAATGCGCATACTTAGCAACATAATATGCTAATAGAATGAGCATATTTGACAAGTCATTGACTCGAGGTGCGACGCCCCGTAATTTAGGCCCGATGGCGGATGATATCACAGTTACTTTCGGTTACAGATAACTGTTACGATCCGCTACCGACCGTGACACGAATAAGGAGTAACTGTTGGCTTTAATTTTTTCGGGAATGTGCTAATAGGTAGGTTAGTGTAGATAAGTAGGTAGGTAGTGCTCGCAATGTCCCATTCAGTGATACAGATATTTCGCTGTATCGTGAATGAAAGTAAAATTACGGTTCACTTAGTTACTTATGAATGAGGTACCTATTATTTCTTCAAAAGATCTATTGCGAAAACATTAGCAAAATATTATTGGGAATACTGCTTTATTTTCTATTTTCAAATCAAATTCTAAAAAATTCTCGAGTCTGTGGAATAAGCACACCTTTCCTTATTCCCTAATACAAAGAGAATAACTACATTTAATTATACCTACCTGCCTAGTGCCTATAATTAGTTAACCTAGGTTCTTAATTAGTTGCTAACGTGTTGCCCATTGCCCACAGTGGGACTTATTCTTCACGGAGCAGTTGGCGGAGTTGCGAGCATCAGCCGGGTTAACAGCTGTAGAGATTGATGGCTCTGAACCATTTGGTATGTGTGTCTTCTCTGCCTACCCCATCAGAAGGCGTGACGTGTGTACCTCTACCTATGTGTGTTCAATTGTTCATACATTAACTGCGTGGCAGTTAATCAGATATCTTATATTACGATAATTTCGTATTATATTACACACACGCACATACATACAATTTTCATGAGCAACTTTTCAATTGATCTTGTTGCTAGCAACATACTCAGTCAATCAGTTAACACCACGTAATCATTAGCGAATGTGTACACGACTACATTTTTATACGATAGTAAAATGATTTGACAACGTGGGTCTTATTCTAGTAAATTCCCACAAAATATAGATAGATTTGATATCAGAATAATGGTGATAAATATAGATAGGTACTGATAGAATTATCAATCATAAACACGAGGTATATTCCTATTCTTATCAGAATTACTTAATTTGTACGTATTACTTAACTAAATTGTGTGACGTGAATTCGAGGAAAGATCTATTAGTTTCAAGTCACATGGGGCCCGGGCCCATATTTGTGAACAGGGCTCGCGAACTGTACTTTTCAATTTAATATGCTCACGAGAGTATACCTATACATACACCATTGCTTTGGTAGAACCTATATAGGTATCTATCTACACTATTTATTTTAACAACAGTGCTATGAAAACGCGCGAAAAATGTCTTCGCCGATTTTAACGCAACGCTGCGTGGTCAGTGCTCTCTCTACAAACTAATTTAAATCACGTGTAATTATCAGACTTCCTCTCAGTGATCAAGTGATCACATTATTTTAATCATCGTTCCTGTGAGGTTGTTAAGTTTCTTTTCGGGGATTCAGGGAATCATACTGTGTGAGACGGGACTTTAGGGTGATGTTCAGCTCTAACTAGAGCTGACAATCCATAGATTGTAACAGTGGGAAACCTTGAGATTAAAAAATTGATCCCTGCTCTGGTTCAATAAGGTTTATCAAGGATACAGAGCGGCAGCTTATCTGCGTGCAATAAAAAAACGCGACAGCGTGCGATTGCTACGATGCATCGCGTCTGATGGCAGCAGCCTCAAGTTCAATGTTTTATTTTTAGATAAAGTGCAAGTAAAGGTGCAGGCCGCCGTGATCGCAGCGCCCCACTTCGACATCGAGTGCTGTTCTCAACTGCGTAATGTTTGTGGAGAATAATGTCTTATTATTTGTTATGATGATTAAATAAAAGATGTTGTCGTTAGAAAAATGTTTATTAATGTACTCCTCCGTACTTCAATTGAAATTATTTAATTACTACATAATTATTTAATTATTCTGCTAATTATGAACTAACAATTCTGCAGTCTCAAAATAATTACATACATACAGTTCAAAAACACTGAGGTAGTCTCCTAGGTGTAACGAGACTCGCACCGATTCATTAGTTGATGCAATAATAGTTTAATAAATAAATCGGCATTGAGAAAGTCATGGAATCAGGCCTCTCGCAATTATTCATACGCGAAACTATTGCTTTCACTAAAAATAAAAATGCATCAATTTTTACAATTAACTTCACGCACCATACAGACATGTGCGCAGCGGCAGAAACACGATCAGATCTCGGCTCTGTGACGGCAGCGCGCCCGCCGCACACCCCAAGCTCACACACACACATACAATAAATATACACAACACGAGTTAAAACACTCCGCATCCGTGTCTCACTGCAGGTTGTGCCGCGTGACGTCACAGCTCACGGTGCACACCCCGCAACGATCGGAGATCACATTTGGCTATGATCACACGTATTAAAGTCTGTTTGGTTACAACTCGTCCTTGAAATCTTCATCCTCACCTCCCGCGCCAGGCGGGGGCACGCCTCCTTGTCCTTGGTACAACTTGGCGATGATGGGCTGAACAACGTCCTCCAGGGACTTCTTCTGTTTTTTATATTCTTCTGAGTCGACATCCTGGTTGTCTTCGAGCCACTTGATCGCGGCATCGATAGCCTCCTCCATCTTTGACTTCTCGTCGTCACTCAACTGTAGACAAAGAAAACGGAACTGTTAGCTTATTCTGTATCTGGTAAGTTAATTAATAAAGATAAATGTGATTATTTAAAGTTAATAAAAGTGAAATAGTTTGTATAACCAACCTTAGAGCCAAGCTTCTCCTTGTCCTGGAGCTGGTTCTTGATGGAGTAAGCATAGCTTTCCAGTTCGTTCCTGGCCTCAACGCGCTCCTTGAGCCTCTTGTCTTCATCGGCGAACCTCTCGGCATCCTTGATCATCCTCTCGATATCTTCAGGTGTCAGTCTGTTTTGGTCATTAGTGATGACAATCTTCTCTCGGTTTCCAGTACCCTTGTCCTCAGCAGACACTTGCAAGATACCGTTAGCGTCGATTTCGAAGGTAACTTCGATCTGAGGGATACCACGAGGTGCAGGAGGAATGCCAGTTAAGTCGAACTTTCCGAGCAAGTGGTTGTCCTTGGTCATTGGACGTTCACCTTCGTACACCTGGATGGTAACAGTGTGCTGGTTGTCACTAGCTGTGGAGAAGATCTGAGACTTCTTGGTAGGAATGACGGTGTTACGGGGGATAAGCTTGGTCATGACACCTCCGACAGTCTCGATACCCATGGTAAGAGGATTGACGTCGAGTAGCACAATAGCATCAGTGTCTTGTTCACCGCTTAGTACTCCAGCCTGGACGGCGGCACCGTAAGCGACAGCCTCGTCAGGGTTGATACCTCGGGAAGGCTCCTTTCCATTGAAGAATTCCTTGACCAATTGCTGTACTTTGGGGATACGGGTAGAACCACCGACAAGCACGATCTCATCAACATCCTTTTTGTTCATGTCGGCGTCTTCCAATACCTTCTGCACAGGCTTAAGAGTAGATCTGAAGAGGTCCATGTTCAACTCCTCGAACTTAGCCCTGGTAAGAGTCTCGGAGAAGTCTTCACCTTCGAAGAATGATTCGATTTCAATCTTGACTTGGTGGCTGGAGGACAGGGCTCTCTTGGCCTTCTCAACTTCACGACGAAGCTTCTGTACGGCACGGTTGTCTTTCCTGATGTCCTTGCCCTTCTTCTTCTTGTACAACTTGATGAAGTGCTCCATGACTCTCTGGTCAAAGTCTTCACCACCCAAGTGAGTGTCACCATTGGTGGCTACTACTTCAAACACTCCATTGTCGATGGTGAGCAGAGACACGTCGAAGGTACCACCACCCAAGTCAAATACGAGCACGTTCTTCTCGCCTTCCTTCTTGTCAAGACCATAAGCGATAGCGGCGGCGGTAGGCTCGTTGATGATTCTCATGACCTGAAGACCGGCGATAGCACCAGCGTCCTTGGTGGCTTGACGCTGAGCGTCGTTGAAGTAAGCAGGGACAGTAACGACAGCGTGGGTCACCTTCTTACCCAGGTAAGCCTCAGCAGTCTCCTTCATTTTGGTGAGAACCATAGCTGAGATTTCTTCAGGAGCAAAGATTTTGTCGCCCTGGGAGGTCATAACAGAAACATGAGGTTTGCTGTTCTTCTCAACCACCTTGAAGGGGAAGAATTTGACATCATGTTGAACAGTAGAATCACTCCATTCACGACCAATAAGACGCTTGGCATCAAAGACGGTGTTCTCGGGGTTGGTGGTCAGCTGGTTCTTGGCAGCATCACCAATGAGACGCTCTCCGTCAGCAGTGAAAGCCACATATGAGGGAGTGATACGGTTACCCTGGTCATTAGCAATGATTTCCACACGGCCGTTCTTGTACACACCAACACTGTGGACAAATGAGACAATGTCTATTAGATTCAAGTCATCTTACTATTAGGGATTATTTCAAATTTCAAACATACTGATAATTGTTTACTGTTTGTTACATTTGCACTGAAGTTATTGGGCTAGCTAAATTATAAATATTAATTCTTCTAAGCATATTTTTTACTCATACAGCTAAAAATAACTTTATTATTATGCAGGTCATTGACCAGTCATATGAACTCTTATAACCTCAATTAGCTTTGTAAAATATCAGCATTTTTATGCAAATTATTTTACTGTTATGATTGAAAAACAATCATATTTTTTCATTCATAATAGTTTTCCTTCAAAATTCATAATTTAAAAGTACTTGCTTTTGGTGATAAGTCCCATTTATAAAAGTTAATTATACATTCGTCAAGTATGAAATCAATTAATAGGCAGTAAAGTGTTAATTTCTTCTCATTAATTAAATACTCCAATTTATTAAAATAAGGAATTAAATTAAATATAATTGTTGGGCTCATGGGATTATTACAATTCACATATTTATAAATTATTACTAGAGTCCAGATGTTATACAAAGTTAAGGCCTAGGGGGGTGTGTTCTAGTGATTATTGCACTTACCAAGAGTAGGTGGTACCCAAGTCGATACCGATCACGGTGCCGATGTCCTTCTCCTTGTCCTTCTTGTCGTCGGCGTACACCGCCACGACCACGCAGGCCAACGCTAAAATACTCCACCGCATTTTGATCATGCAATGTTACTTTCTGAAACAAATCATTACAAAAATCAGTCAAGAAACCTATAACGTATGTACACGCATTGTGTAAAGATGTTATAAAGTTAAAATATCTCAATCTGTACCAGATGACACTTTTTGTAGAGACACGTAATCGTTAATGGGACACGTCACTATAGGGCGCCGGGCCAAACGCTGCCGGCTTACATTCAGAGAAAATGAAAGTTTTCCAATCCAGTCATAGGTAACAGTATGGAAGACCTAACGGTACCATGAGACGGCTAGGGGAGATGTAGGACGCGCCACCGGCCCACTCGGCATCGAGAAATTTCGCTGACGTTTCATATAGATAAGCGAGTTTATAAATGAATCTTATGAGAAATCTATTAGTTTAAATTTGATTTACCTAGTAAAATTAATCAGCTTTTAGAAAATTCAACAAAAAGTCAAGAATCAAACCATGAAAGGGTGAGGTTAAAAATTCATTCCAAATTATAATGATCAGGGGGTTCAGCGACTAAAATGATACAGAATTTATGGAAAAAGTCTAGAATAATTACCAATTAAACAGATGATTAAATGAGACTTGAATTCCAATAGAATATTATTCACAGCCACGATACAAGCACTTTATAATGGGACACTCGAGTACGATTCACAATACGATGTTCCTTCACCTTCGATTTTTCAAGAAAAACTGAAGTAACACACGCGGCCGTCGCTATTATTTAGCGCTAGTATCCATCGTGGGCTAATGTGATTGGTCCACAACTCAATGACGTATCAAATAATTGACTGTGATTGGTCCAAGTGTACGTATTTGGCGCAACGTGATTGGCCCACGTTCGTAACTGGTCCTCAATAGAACATTCTCTATAGCGCAAAATTTAAACCAAAACTAAATGGTACTTTCAATAAATGAAAAAGTATTATTATTTCATATTACTTACAAAATATTCATTTATATTACAACAATTAGTAAGATCTATTTATAAATCCATTAAAAATATCCGCTTGTATTCAATAAATCTTTACATTACGATGTTTTTGATTTTGTTTGTCGTTTTTTCGAAAAAAATTTAATAAATCTACAGCCGTTGGCTAAAAATATTAAACTACTAGGACTATCAATTACCCAGCAAATACCTTAAAAATAGTTAACATTGAAGTTATACGGAATCTTTACAGGCTTATTTTAGTTTTTTCTAGATGTTTCTCCATTCGAAACATCTTGAATAGGTGGATTCTAGAACTTTCTATTATATATCATCATATTCTAAGAATGAATACGAAGTAGGTAGTTAATAAATAGTTAATTGGTCAATAAAAGTTATTAGGTTATAAATAACAGTAGTCATTAGATAGTCTTACCAACAGATGTGTATTTAGGGCATGCCCTGTACTTATTACCTATCGGTACTCTTTGTGGCATACTTATGTCAATTGCATAGTATGTAGGAAATATTATTTAAAATACATAATATTTACTTTATTAATATCTTTTCAACAATTACATAGATAGGGCGTTGCTGGGCAAAGGGCATTTTAATGATGAATGCTGACGTGCGATCTTTTCTAAAATGATGATCAATCATTTTGATGTTTTTACATTATAAGTTTTCAATGACGATGAAGAAGATGGAATCCCCTATACTTATTACACTCTTTGGGTGGAAATCAATAACGACTTCATAATCAGATTCATGCAATCGAGAAGTTATTTTGCGTAATTTTAGACCTCTAAGTATTTTGATAAAAATTGCATCACATATTAGTTTCCTAATATTTACTTCATTCTTAATTTCAATAAAAGAGTGGGCCACGTCAACTCTTTATATTTGTACAGCTTGATAAAAACGTATTGCACTGTTGCACATGAAATAGTTTTAAATGATATTCGTGTACAACTGCAATCAGTTCTATCCGTTCTATCGCTCATAACTAAAAAGTTAAGAAAGAATAAGGTCTCAAATAAATACGTATATTTTATTTCATTTTCTATCACATTACATCCTCATAAGGCTTAGAATTAAATCTTAACTAGGTACTTTAAATGACACATCTATAACAATTACAATAAAAAGTAAAATAATAACAACAACCCATGTTTTTCAACTTAAAAACTACGACAACAGTTGGTAGTCTGTACTTTAAAAAAAATTATAATGACACTTTGAGCAAAGTATAAAAATACAAAAAAAAAACAACATTTATATTCCCAACCCCACAGATCATAAAATTTACTACACAAAGAACTCCATTTATTGTTTTTTATTTATCATGTTTAAAATTAATGGTGCGAAGTATGTGATGATGCAATCAGCTCCTGAAAAAGATAATAAAGCAATTTAAAATAAAGTCAGTACGTCGGTAACAGTTCTATAACACAGGATAGCAACATCAAGGCAGAAAACAATGGATCCTTTTAGTACAGTATTCTGTAGTTTTAAAACTGATGTGAATTTGTATCGCCACTTAAGATTGTAATGTAGTTTCATTAGATTTTAATATTTTTAATAAAGCACATTATAGGTATATAATAAAATACAAACCGGCTCTGCGCATGCTCGTCAATGTCTCCATAAGAATCGTTTGGACCTCTGAGCTGTCTCCACTACGACAGATCATTGCGTATTCACCGGACACCTATCGAAAAACAATAAAAATACCATAGGTAAACATTGCAATATTGAACAATGCAGCATATTTGTAGTGTCATAAAATCACAAAATTGGTAAACAAAAACATGGTAAGTAGGTACTAGTGATGTTATGGATATGAAATTTCGGATACGGATTAGATACGGATATAGAAATGATTATTATACTGGATACGGTTACGGGTACGGATATGAATTTATTTCGGATTATCCGTTAGTTTCGGATAATTTCGGTTACGGATATTAAAATTTTAATGAATTTAAAAGTAAAATACAAATAGCTAATATAATTGTTTCGTTTATACGTCAGTCCCCTATCCGATAGTATCCGAAACTTTTATTTCGGATTCGGTTACGGTTACGGATATTTTTTATTTCGGATATCCGATAGTTTCGGTTACGGTTACGGAGCTCCCTAACATCCCTGGTAGGTACATAAAAATGTGCTATGGTAACGTCGTTTCTTATTTATGAAGATGAGATGTAAACTGCTTTGTTTTTATGAACTTTTATTTAAATTCACCGTTTATGTATGTAGGCATTTACAAAACTAGAAGAAAATACATATACATAATTTGATCTAGGGCTATATTTAGAACCAATACGAAACTGCACGCGAACCTCGCGCTCTGATTGGCCTGCTCCAATGAACCAACCAATCAAAGGGCTAAACGCGGTACCGTTTCGATATTGAACTTAAAACTAAGAACTTCAATATGAATGGCATAGACTATTTTTATTTTATTCTGTACCTGGTATATGAACAGAGGATGGTACGGGTACTTGTCCTTGGTCTGCCTCACAATGTCCAGATACGGCAGGCCTGGCTTCACCATTAGGAAATCCGCACCTTCAGCCACATCTCGAGCCTAAGAAAAATTCAATGAAAAAAATCTGTACGCATTTCACTAGGTACCGATTTATAAAGCTGACGAGATCGTTTTTTTCATTAAACACTGTATGAAATTACTAGAGGGCCAAGCACGAATAACTATCGCATTCGTATCGTAACAGTATCGAGCGAGTTAAGCATTCTGATTGGTTGGTTGACTAGAGCCGGCCAATCAGAGCGCCGAACGCGCTCGATACTATTACGTTACGAATGCGATAGTTATTCGTGCTTGGCACTCTGTTCGAAATAAACAAATATTTTTGTGTTTAATAGTCCATTTATCGAGAATGGCTTTGGACTTTATGGTAATCACGCTACGATCAATAGGAACCGTGCAGTAAATGAAATCCATTCGAGATAAGCTATAAAATAAATGAGTCGCAAACTGTGTCACAAGACTCGAGAACATCTTGACCGATTTCATTTAATCGGTTTATTGTTGTTTTCAAAATGAATTTTTATGATGGAAACGAGAATGGTAAAGTTATGAATAGCATCCGTGCGAAGCCGAAACGGTCCGATAAATTTTAATCTAAGTACAATAAAACCAAGGTTGGACTTTAAAATGCTTAGTTCCTTTAGTTACAAGACTGTTTGGTCAGCTGTGTTCTGCATACATAGTACATACATATGATTTCAATCTCATACATTAATATATTAGCTATTTATCAACTCGCTTTTATGAACGTTTTTCCAATGTAGAAATTATGAAATATTCTTAGGTCATGTTAATTTTAGTATTGATCTTCACATTCTTCATAAAACTGAATCTGAAAAATCACAAAGATAATCAAGATTAATAGGTAGATCTAGGTTCTAGAGTACTTACGGCAGCCCTGGCAGCTAGTCCTGCACTGCCAGGGGGCAGCTGGTAGCATTTCCTGTCACCCTCCATCGGAGCACTCTTCATAGTGTCTCGGAATGGGCCATACATAGCCGAAGCGAACTTGCACGAATATGAGAGCACTGATACCTGAAATAATTAAATTTCACACTTTTAAATTGACTCTCAATATTATATCCTGTATTTCTGTAATATCAAAAGTTACTTAAAAAAAAATCTTTATTAACAGATACCCACAAAATCTGTACTTTTGTACCAAAATTTAACAATAAGTACAGTGCAACAAGTAAAATTATTAACTTTTAAATGTGTAAGTCTAAACTCACAGTATTCTGCAGCTTGCAGGACACCAGGGCATCCTTGATAGCCTTGATTCTGTTGTCCATCATATCAGATGGAGCAATAATTTGTGCACCTGTTCACAAATTAATTTATTTTACCCACTTGGACATGCAATTTATTTAAAATAGTTCTTAAGACATGTTAGAAAGATTAATTAAAAATAACAAAAGTGCTAAATCATACTCTAGGAAAGATATTGAACTATTCTTGTCTCTTTTATTCTCAAGGCCAGTTCAAAGGCCATGTTTTAAAAAAATAAAAAAGTGGTATTTTTGTTTAATAATAATCCTAAAATGTTTTACCAGCTTTAGCATATGCTAGGGCAACTTCAGCAATCCTTCTAACTGATGCAGCATGGTCTATGGCTCCATTGGGAGTCAAGAGGCCGCAGTGTCCATGAGAAGTGTACGGACAAAGACAGACATCGCATGCTATTAGTAGATTTGGGAATTTTGCCCTCAGTTTAGGAAGAGCTTTCAGTACTGGATTTTCTGGACAATCTGCACTAGATCCTGAGGCATCCTGTTGAAAGTACAATTATATTAATAAAAAGTGACTAAAGTTGCATTTGCATGGTTTGATTTTCTTCATTTATATACCTTTGGCAAAGCTGTAACAATTCCAAAGATGAGTATAGAATTGAGACCTTTATTGACTAGTTCCTCCAGGTGGGAGATCAGTGGCTGCAGTCCATACCTGCACACATTGGGCATGCTACCCACTGGCTGAATGAGATTGTCATCTTCCCTGGTAATTTAGAAAAAAAAAATGAAAAAACACTAGAATGAACCTATACTATGCAAGTTAAATTATTCCAATCGTTTAGAATATCCGACAGTAGATAAATAGATTTTATGCTGACAATGCCTATTATTATTTTCTACAGCATAAAATGTGATAAAAGTTATTGTGTGTCCGGAAACTGCAACATTCGTAAGTACTTACAGTAGGAACACGGGATACATAATATTATGAGCCTCGATACTGGTATTAGGTTCTTGTAATTTCCTCAAAGTCGAGTGAAAGTACCCTCCTTGCAGGACATGTTCGGCGCTCAAAAATAATTGATTCATATTTTCCTAAGAAGGTCAAACTCAAGCAACAGTTACAATTCTCCAAGTGTTAGCGTCTGAAGTGAAGTCTAATTGATTTTTATCAGTAGTTCACTAATTATTTGATCATAAAATATTCATACTATCGGAATACACATACGTCATTGTTGTCAATGGCTTATTGATTGATAAATCTTAGAATTTATAACTTAAACTGAGACCACTTTATGTAAATCGAGAAAGAAAAAGCAGGATAGCAATAAAATTAATGTTAATTTCTTGTTGTATGTAATTTGTATAAGGATGGAATGCTCATAAATACAAACAATACAACGTCAAAGTCAAAATGACAATGACAACATATGTCAATTTTAGCAGTACTCAACGACACTGAAGACAAATTACTCTGTGGCGGCGTGAACTTTTCTCTTCATTCTGTGCGTTTTATTTTAGTTTTCGGTCCCAAGCTTGCAACATGATAAAATTGATAAAAAGACAGAGGTGTCAGTCAAATTAATGTCAATTGTCAATAAGATTTATAAAAAGTAGCAAAATCCTAATTTATCAATATTATTATTTTATGGGTTTCGTGCTCACAAAATATGATTATTTAATTTACTTTCAAGTAAATTATCAAATAGTGCCAATAATATCACAACTACTATGACACCCGTTTAATCAAAAGGATTTTTGCTTTATTGTTTACATCTTAATTGCTTTTGTATTACTTTAGTTTTTAATGATATTTAGTATGTATTTAATGATATTCAATATTATTCAATAGTATATAAGTATAAGTGTAGTATAAATAACTACAACAAAAGTGAAAGAGTTAAAGCCTTGAAAACTAGATCGATAGCCTTGAAGCACCATGAATACGGATGAAGACTCTCCTGTTAAGAAAAAAGTAGATAAACCATCAACTGATAATCTAACAGTGATTCTAGACAAGATAGATGCGAAACGATTAGAGAAAGGTGACGAAGAACCAAAACCGCGTATTGTTCTAACGTTTCGGTCGGAGAAAAACAGTGCCAAGAGTAGTAACATGAAGATAGTAACTAACGAGGAGAAACAAGAGGAGGCTCCGCGTCGGTCCAGTAGGACTCGCGGTAAGTGGGAATGGGTGTGCGATAGCGACACATCTCCTAAGAAGAACAAGTCTGGCACACAGACTATGTCAGAGAATGATGAGTCAGACAGCTCACACACCACTCCCAAGCGATCGACGCGGCGGCGCAGCAAGGACTCGGATAATGTCCTAGCCAATGCTATTGCTAGAAAGGAGAAATCATATGAAACCCAGCAAGCCCCTCAAAGATTGTCTCGTAGAATAAAACCTACAGCTAAGATTCTTGCTAATGAAGAATTACGAATTGGATTGGAATCTCAGAACAATGCGCGTCTAGGCATAAATGACAAGTCTCCTGAGGAGGGAGTGAGGACACGGAGGTCTGTTCGTCCTTTGGCAACGCAGGTAGAAAAGAAGAAGGAGCGAGAGGTAGAAGTCGAAGAGGAGATGGCAGAGCTAGGAGAAGATGATGATAGCCAAAGTCAGAATACTGTGATGAAATTGAAGCACCTTTGTGAGCTGGGCTTGAAGGCTATTAGCCCAGATGAAGCAGAGGAGAGTGGGAATGAAAACAAGTATATATTTTCAGAATATATTATTTTAATCTTGAACTAGGTATTAGGTAGTAATGTTATTATTGCCTGAGTGAGATTGTATAAACAACTATTTCTAGACTTACCTCTTAGGCGAAAGTCAATTAGCATGTTCCTGATCCTGATTTCATGTTTTTCAATTCAATTCAATGCATTTTGACTTAAGAGTTCATACAGTAAATTAAGATTTAACCAACTTTTGAAGCAACAACTCCAGCTAAACAATAACATTTTGTAAATTTTTAAGCAACTTCTTATACAGAACAAAGTTTGACTAAAATGACAGAATCTAAAAATGTTTTCACCCCCAAATACATATTTGGTGACAATAATCTAAGATTACCCACTCAAAGATATTTTTATGATAGCATCTTTATTAGTTTAGTTTTTGTTAAATATTTGTTGTTATACAACTTTAACAAATTGTTTTAATTATCTAGAGGGGAAGAGGATGAGGAGGAAGAAGCAGAAGGAGAAGAAGAAGAAGGTGAAGGAGAAGCTGATGAGTTAGATGAGGATGAGGAAGTGGAGGATGCAATATTCCTCAGCAAGATGATGGAGCCTGATGACTCGAGTGATGCTGACAGTGACTTCCGCTGCTCTGTCGAGGTAGCGGCCAAGAACAGGCCGAGGCGGTCCACAAGACTGTGCTCCTCTATTGGATTCAATGACAGCGATCGATCATCACCTGTTGGGGAAGATGAACATAAGTAAGTGTTGTTTAGTAACAGCTTGTTGTACACTAAATGTAAACATACCCTCCTGGTGACCAGAAAAACTGTTAAAAAATAAAACTAAACTAATTAAAAATTTAACTCTACCTTCCTACTTAGTTTTTTACCTCGTAATTCATGATTAATATAAAATAATACAGTAGCTTATAATTTCTAAATGATAAAGAAATAAACTTGACGCCAGGTCTCCGCGGCGCCCGTCCAAACGGTCGAAGCACAATTACGTGGAAGACAGTGAAAGGTGAGACTATGTTCTTTCACCTTTAACTTGTGACTTATAACTTTGAAATAATTTGCTCATTTTGATCACCAGGAGTCATCGTAAGAGGAGGAGGCACCGGTCATCTGGTGGTGACGAACCTCATTCCGACGCTGAAGTTGAGGATATAAGGTACTTACATACTTTTATTATTTAACATATTCTTCTAAGGAATCTTATTATTCAAAATTCAAAATTCTTTTATTCACATTTAAATAGAGTATATGCAAGCAAAAGTAAAAATGGAAAGTTACAAATTTTTGAAAATACATTGTTTTCGTAGGATCTTTTGACGTGTCGAAATAGTTTGTCAGGTTGTTCAAAGCTAAGGTATCTGCCAGATCTGCTTTTTAAAGTGTAATACTTAGGCTACAGCTTCAGGGTACATTATAACATCTTAAGCAGTAAGGGTTGTTAGCAGTCCCTAGTCTTTCTTCCTGCTACTTATATTACAAATCTTTAGCTAAAAGTGTAAGCTAGACATAAACATAACATCATTTTTATCCCTGAAGGGGTAGGCAGAGGTGCACATTACGACACTTAATGCCACTGTACAATGTAACACCCACTTTTCACTATTTATGTTATAAGTCGCATGTAATAGGGGGTGAGCCTATTGCCATATACCAGGTACATTCCAGAATCCGTGCTACTACTGAATTTTTGTAAAACCCAGTAATACTTGGCCCGATCCGGGAATCGAACCCGAGTCCCCTTGCCCGACAGACGTACTTGCGACCACTCGGCCAACGAGGCAGTCTAGAATATTACTAAATCCGCCTTATCCGTCTTATTGAAAATTCTTTACTCAGTACTCCAGCCGCCGCCGACGAAGGTTCCGAAGCTGCTTGCCCGACCGACGAGATCAAAATAATAGCGGCCTGCTTCTGCGAGACGCCTAGCAACGTGTACGCTGCGCCTGAAGAACTTACCGGTAACATATCAATCCTTTTAGATGAGAACATTGAAGTAATATACCCTATTTCACCAGTCTAGTATAATAATGACTGATTTTGACTGCACGGCTGGTGCGGTGGCTGGGCAACTGGCTGTCGTGCAACGTGTCGCGGGTTCGATTCCCGCACGGAACAACAGTTTGTGTGATCCACAATTTGTTGTTTTGGGTCTGGGTGTCATTGTGTATGTGAACTTGTATGTTTGTAAACGCACCCACGACACAGGAGAAAATCCTAGTGTGGGGCAAAGTTTTAAAAAAAAAAAAAAAAATGGATCATTTACTATTTTATTTACAATAACACTACCTCCCTTTCATTTTTGAGGGGGTAAAATCATCCAATGATTAGGGTGCTGCACTTAGGGTGAGGCGAGAGAGTATGTCAGACTCTCTCTCTTACTGACTCAAAACCACCCCGTCGCTACTGTTTCTCTTCGAGCCGGAGTTCCGGCAACCCGTTAAGTTTTCCGCGCCGTATCGGGCATCAGCTCTACTGAGCCTCATAATACTACCTGCCGGAACTGCCTCTGATATTAGAATTAATTTTTTGTTTCCTTTGACAGAGCCAGTATTCTGCCAAGCGATAGAGCTGGTGGACGGAGTCCGTGTAGGGTGTTCCCACAGCGCTCGTCGCCACCGCAGCCTAGTGAGTAGTGGCAACCCTAGTGGGCTGGCCCCGCTGGTGCGCGCCGGCCCTAGGGCTCCCTACTTCCTGGCCTGCTCCCTGCACGCCACGCAGCTCGCCAAGCACATGTGCTGTCCTGCCTGCGGACTATTCTGCACTCAGGTAATATTGTCATCTATTAATTATAAATACATGTGGTATACATACTACGAAAAAAATCATGAAGTGAAAAAAGATGAAGTAAACAAATACAAAATTGATTTGAGACTGGAGTTGATCAGTGTGATAGAGATCACACTGATCTTATATAAGGAAGGCTTATAAGGAAGTAATTCTATACGATGCAACTTGTAAAATCATACGATTTTGTAAAACATTACCAAAAGAACGCCGAATGGATATTTTCACGTTAATTTAAATTCTAACAGATCTATTGTTGTGGTAGATGCCTACTTGCGACTTCGCGCTATGACACATTTATGTCTATTCTGCAGGGCATATTCTACCAGTGCTCATCAGGTCACCTGTTCCACCTGGACTGTGGTCTGCCTTATAACGACACGAAGCAGGTGCCTCCAGGCTGTCCGCACTGCGGGATCTCTTCCTACCGCTGGAAGACTGCCAACGACAGCTGTGTCAAGGTCCAGGTCGAGATGAAGTGCAGCAACAAACGAATCTTCTTGCCCGACCAGAGGGAACAGTGGTAAGAAATTCTAACACAGTTCCAGTTGTGGACTTTTACTAACTATTGATGATGATGCTGATAATAACTTGACTTCCTTCACCAGCACTCCAGCATACCTCTCCTTTTCCATTCGAGAGCCTAAGCCAGAGTCAGGTCCAGTTATACCGCCGGACCTGCTCCCGTCCCCCCCGGTAGACCTGAAGCAGTTCTGTGAGCAAGCGGCGCAGGCGCCCAACAAGTCGCCTCAACCACTTTGTGACGCCATCCTCAGGGGCGACCCTGTCCATCAACTTATACCTAAGATTGGTAAGGCCCTATTATGTAAACTGTCGTATCACACTGGTGTTTGGCCTGGAAGCTAGAAATTAGATTTAAAGTACTTCAAAAGGCGTACGAAGCAGTCCGGCAGGTCACCGTAATATATATACTTATACCTATATATATTACGTTGGCCGAGTGGTCGCAAGTGCGACTGCCGGACAAGGGGTCTCGGGTTCGATTCCCGGGTCGGGCAAAGTATTATTGGTTTTTTTTTTAAATCTTAGTAGTAGCACGGAGTTTGGTATTGTGCCCGGGATATATAGCAATAGGCTCACCCCCTATTATATGGGACTCCCACTGATCACAAGAGGTGCGCATTATGCCACTGCATAATGTGCACCTCTGCCTGCCCCTTCAGGGATAAAAAGGCGTGATGTTATGTTATTAGCATCATATGCATGACATTTCTAAAACCTCCAAGCAAGCTCCATCGTCTGTTAACATATTCAAAGTTACAAATAAAGAACCAATCATTAAACTCTGAGCACGTGTGTATGTGCAGTGTCGAGCGCGAGCCTGAACAAGTCCGTGTCTGGGCAGGCGGGCGGGAGCTGCGCGCACGCGGCGGCGCGCTGGGGGCGGCCGGCCGCGCTGTACCTGCTGCACTACGCGGGCGCGGGGCTCGACCACACCGACACACACATGCGGACGCCGCTCATGGTCGCCATACTCGGTAACGAGCGAGTTGTAACACTCATTTACTTATAATCATTTCTAATTGTGACTTTAACTATGTAACTTGTAAAACAATCAAATATGGTAGTTTTACTCCAGAACTTAAATCTAATGCTGTTGGACTCACATCATTAAAATTATTATGCCATAGTGAAAAAAGAGAAATATCTTCACTGTTAAAACAAATTGTATAATAATATCGACTATTGTGTCAAAAGCTTTGATGGTTGCAAAGTTACAATTTGTAATAACTTGGACCAATTGACACCTATACAATTATACACATTACAATTTCAATGAAGAAGTCTTGTTAAGTTTATAAAGCAGTAGATAAAATTACATTAATGCAATTTTCAGCACTTGTGGAAAAACCAACAATTAAAAAGAAGAAAGGCAACAAGCGCTCCAAGTCTGAGGAACCAGAACCAGATGCTGACAAAACAGAGGAGAGTGAGAAACAGGACAAGGGAGAGGACAGGATGGATGAAGAGGACGACACTGTGAGGACCAAGGAGGAAGACCTTGTCAAGGTCATACGTTATCTGGTGATTGCTGGATGTGATGTCAACTTGCCCGTGAGTATTTAATTAATATTATTTTGAGTTTGAGATAGACATTACAGTCGGTTTAAAAGCAGTGCTTGTGGTTGAATAAAGTAACTTTTTTGTTCTATACCTTTCTATAATTCTTAAGTATATCTATAGAAATATAGGTACCTTTCGTAGCAACCATACAATATTATTATTAGACAGTTATTAACAAAGCAGTAAGCTTGAAAATCTAATAAAGTTCCGGTGTACTCATCGTTCATGAAATAAGACTATTCTAATTTAGTATGTCTGACGATAGTTATTATGAAAACAAGACTATCCTACTTTGACTCCTCAAACTTGTATAAATATTAATCGTAATGATATCGTATACTGTAGGGTCCGGACGGTATGACATGCCTCCATATAGCAGCTCAGCACGGTCTGGTGGGAGTCATACCATTCCTTCTTGAGAGAGCCAATGTGGACGCCAGGGATCATGGAGGGTGGACGCCACTCGTCTGGGCTGCTGAGAACAACCACAGTCAGGCCGTCAAGTGAGTACCTTAACTTTGTATTTTATAGTGTGGAGTGTTTTAACAGGTTCTTAAGGTTCATTTTACTTTAGTCATCATTTTATTTTGTTTAGGTTTTTGAATACCTGTGACTAATCTCTCAGTATGTTTTCTTAGTTTGTTTATAGAACTATGATGCAGGAAATATTGTTTATTATCAAGTTTATGACCAATAGGGAGCAAGAGAATTGATAAATTGTAGTAAAATATTTACTAAATTAAATTATTTTCTAACTGCTGTATGTAGGTTCTTAGTATGATTGTCGTAGTGAGCACAATGTCCGTCGCAGGTTGTTGCTGGGCGCGGGCGCGGAGGCGGCGTCGTGCGACAGCGAGGGCAACGGCTGCGTGCACTGGTGCGCGCTGGCGGGCGCGGCCGCCGCGCTGCTGGCGCTGCTGGACGCGCGCCCCGCACTCGCCGACACGCTCAACGCGCATGGAGACACGCCGCTGTATGGACATTTATTTTTTGGATTTTTTCCCCTCCCTAAAATTTTTCCTCTGTCGTGGGTGTGTTTACACACATAAAGATCACATACACGTGCCACACAGACTCGGAACAACAATCTGTGGATCACAAAAAGAGTTCTTCCGTGCTGGAATCGAACCCGCGACACGATATATGGCAGCCAGTTGCGCAGCCACCGCGCCAACCGTACTGTCATTATGTGTCATATATAGTACATATATTATTATACTTATTTTTTTAATTGCCTTTGTCAGACAATGAGCAGTTGTGTTTTAGCCCTAGATTTTTTATTGTATCTAAATATCTAGTCATTTAAATATATAACAACAAAGCTTAGTGAAAGTTCTTGTAAATTGCCTTCGTCAGAAAGAGGGGTTATTACAGAATCATTGTTAGTCTCTAATAAACCCACAAAATTCTAAATTCTTTCTTAAATATTCCACGATGTTACTATTGGATACTTAAACTAAGTTTTAATTTTCCCAACTGTTGTAACATGTATTTGATTTCTATGTAAAATTATGCTTTCTATCGTTAATGAATATTTTTATTTCAGACACATAGCTGCGAGACAAGGTCACTATGCCTGCGTGGTTATGCTGCTAGCTCGCGGAGTACGGGTAAGCTTAATTACATACCGTACCAATAAAGGAAAGGAAACAGCGTCTATTTACTAAAAACTAAATTTAAATACCACGTCTAACCTAGGGCTAATTAAAACTGAGTCCAAGTTGTAACCAGCCTATGTTTTCATTACAATAATATGATGTATTATTTATACACAGACGGACATAGAGAACGCGGCGGGCGAGTTGCCGGTGGAGGTCTGCACGGGGCAGTGTCAGACTGCCATCTCACTCAACATGCAGATGACCATCGCCGTCAAAGACAACCTGCCACGGTTCAAACTACTCTCCAGGTACGTAGCAATTTAATAGATGTTCGTTGGCCGAGTGGTCGCGAGTGCGACTGCCGGGCAAGTCGTCTCGGGTTCGATTCCCGGGTCGGGCAAAGAATTACTGAGTTTTAAAAAAAAATCTCACTAGTAGCAAGGAGTCTGGAATTGTGCCCGGTATATGGCAATAGGCTCACTGTACAGTGGTATAAGTGTCGTGGTGGCCCGGAGGTTTAAGACGCCCACTTCTCATGCATGAGGGTGCGGGTTCGAAACCTACCAATGTGACTTTTTCCGAGTTATATGTACTTTCTAAGATTATTAAGACACCACTGACAAACGGTGAAGGAAAAACATCGTGAGGAAACCTGGGCTTATAATTTCTCATTATAAGTTTGAAATCGCCAACCCGCATTGAGCAAGCTTGGTGATTAATGCTCTAATCTTCTCCGTGTGAGAAGAGGCTTTGCTCAGCAGTGGGCATATATAGGCTGTTGATGATGATGACAGTGGCATAATGTGCACCTCTGCGTTCCCCTTCGGGGATAAAAGGCGTGATGTTTTGTTTCAAGATTGTGTACCATATTATATCTTACTAATATTACAAATGCGATAGTTTGTGTGTGTGATTGTTACTCAATCACGCCATAACTACTGAAGGGATTGGGATGGAATTTGGAACAGGGTAGATTATTAACTAAAAATCGCGGGTTACTCACGTGAATATACTGAGAAAAGCTCTACTAGGGGTTCTTCCTCATGAGCAGCGTGATCGCGCGCGGTCGCGGCGATGTCGCGCAGCCTACGTGATACGTATGTACATACTAATTTAGTATGTTTCACGATATTTATTATAAAAACAGGGTAGATTATTGTTTGGAATAACACATAGGCTGCTTTTTAACCCACGGGAACGCATATGAAGCTGCTGGTAGAAGATTTTTATGATAATGCATAGGTAAAATTTGAGTTGCTCCTGTTTATGTGTATTGTTTTAAACAACCCGTATTCTCCAGGTTATCCTTATACCACTACTACCGCCTGATACTATAATAATTACATTCTCCAGCGACATCTCAAACGGCCGCGAGCCGTTTCCGATCCCGTGTGTGAACGAGGTGGACGACGCGCCCTTACCGGACGACTTCACATACGTCACGCGGCACGTCATGCCTGTACCCGTCAATGTTGACAACACCATCGATACTCTGCAGGTTGGAAAATATATTATTACGTAGTTGTAAATCTGACTGCCTCGTTGGCCGAGTGGTCGCAATTGCGACTGCCGAGCAAGTCGTCTCGGATTCGATTTCCGGGTCGGGCAAAATATTACTGGGCTTTTTCAAAAAAATCTCAGTAGTAGCACGGAGTCTGGAATTGTGCCCGGTATATGGCAATAGGCTCACCCCCTATTACATGGGACCCATAACATAAATAGTGAAAAGTGGGTGTTACATTGTACAGTGGCATTAAGTGCCGTAATGTACACCTCTGCCTACCCCTTCGGGGATAAAAGGCGTTATGTTATGTTTTTTTATGTGTGTTTTTGTAAATCTTTAGGATTACAATCTTACAGTTCATTATAAGTTTATTCTAATGTGTAAAGTTATAGTTACCGATACAAAACGTGAAAAAAAGTACGTAAACTGAATAAATTATTATTCAAGAAATTTAGTATGAAGTGATGATAGATGGTTAAAGAAAGAAAGATAGGCAAATAGTAAATTTCAGTCTTTAAATATGGAACTTTATGTTTATTGAGCTCGAAGTGTTCAATAATAAAATTATTTTTGAGATCGACTCATTCGTTACTTGTCCGGCCAGGGCTGCCAGTGCGCGGCGGGCGAGTGCAGCTCGATGTCGTGCGCGTGCGCGGCGCTGGGCGTGCGCGGCTGGTACTGCGGCGGCCGCCTGGCGCCCGCCTTCCCCTACCACGACCCGCCCATGCTGTTCGAGTGCAACCAGACCTGCCACTGTAACATGGTGAGGAATACACTGCTTGTCTGCTACTTAACTTATTTACCAATAATATACAATATTTTTTTCCTTCTTCTTCCCTTATCTCACACTTCTAAGGCAATTAAACTTGTAAAATATTTGACATGTATGAGTCGATAGTGTTTCAAAGTACTCCACGATATTATTATAGTGAACAGTAAAGCTTTTCTTATTATGTTCTCAATATCCTTTATAAATAAAAAAACAAAGTGATCAGAATATTTATGGTTGTAATCGACACATGATGTACAATGTCCTGTTCGTACAGCGTCGTTGCGGCAACAGTATAGTGAGTCGCGCGGCGGCGGCGGGCTCCGTGTGCGTGCGCGTGCAAGTGTTCCGTTGCGCAGAGCCCCGCGGCTGGGGGCTCCGCGCGCGCCAGCCAGTACCGCGCGGGGCTCCCGTCGCGCTCTACGTCGGGGAACTACTGCCACTGCCGCAGGCAGACACGCGCGCCGCAGACCAGTACATGTTCGCCCTCGATGTCAAATCCGACTTGTTAGAGGTATGTAGTCTGTCCATATAAATGTTACAGGCGTTAAAGATAACATTCTGGTTACGATTTCAATAAATGTAAAGACTGCAAAAATAAAAATAAATCCAGACCTTAATCAAGTTTTGACACATTATCTTTCCCTCAGCAATGTTCGGACAAGACGCAGCTATGCGTGGACGCGGCGCAGTACGGCAGCGCGGCGCGGTTCATCAACCACAGCTGCCGGCCCAACCTGGCGCCCGTCCGCGTCTTCACCGACACGCGCGACCTGCGCCTGCCCACAGTCGCACTCTTCGCCACCGCAGACATACAGCAGGATGAGGAACTCACGTTAGTCACCAACATTTCATTAAAAGTCTTGTCCATCTCATACAACAGTGTAGTTTTATCGTTAAATGGACTGTCTTTGAGGTCGTGAAGTTACAAGTATTATGAAAATTCGTAGTGACACAGAGTACAGAATAAATTAGTTTTGTAAGAGACAAGTTAATAATGATTTGAAGATATTATTTTTTTGTTGACAGGTTCGACTATGGAGACAAATTCTGGTCTGTAAAATCGAAGTGGATGAAATGTGAATGTGGAAGTGTAGACTGCAGGTATCCTACTAAATCTGAAGATACGGAGTCTTCGTGAACCCGTGAAGTGATATTTTAAATGATTTACTATACATATTGAATATTTATTATGGATTATACTGAATAAAAATGATCTGTAATCATGTACTGAATAATATTAAACTTTAAATAATTATACTGATTTTATTTTTATTGGAAAATGTAATAAGTGAGTGATAAGTATAATTCGGTCTTATTTCTAATATGTTCCGAATAACCGTGGGCAGTATAATATTAACTATTATTTACTAACATAACATAACATCACGCCTTTTATCCTCGAAGGGGTAGGCACGGGTGTACATTATGCCACTGTACAATGTACCACCAACTTGTCACAATTTTATATTATTTACAAGTCTACAAAATATTCTTATAAGATTGATTGATAACTCGTAATCAAACTTTTATTATAAATTTATTTATTATTTTAAAAGTATTAATCTGTTTACTGAAAAATTTAATTTCTTGATCCTTTTCCTTGACTACCTATTTCGGTACTAAGACCAAATATTTTGTTTTGTAAAAATCGACTAAAATGTCTTTAGTAAGTTTATATATTAAATAAATTAGAGTGGCAACCCAAAACCAAACGTCAAGTTTGTAAACAACTGTCAAAGTTCAAATAAAAGTTCAACGGCTCAAACAGGAGTTATAAAAGTTAAACTATAGAACGTAAATAAGTTTAAAATTATACAATTTGTACACAAAACTAAGTTAAATATTTCTTAAAAGTGGTGACTTACGTTCAGATTTATTCAACAAATGCATTAAACGTTGGTAAATATGAGTGGTAACACGGAATCAACATCGAACAGCATCAAGTTTGCGCCGATGCCTATGTCGGCACTGCTGGCCAACTTGATGCCTTTCAAGAATGCAGCAGATAGCCCTGATGCCAGCTTTTCATCAGCTGACGATAGTGATCACTCCTTTAGCGAAACCGTGGCAAAAAAACCGTCTCCTGCTAAGAAAATAAACAAAGATTTTTTCACGCCCAATGTGAAACCTAAACCAAAAGATATAAAAGCTTTTGCTTCAGAAAAAAAATTCAGTTACAACGATCACGATAAAGAGAATGCAAACGATAATTGGGTGCCCCATCAAACATATCCAGCCAAAGAAAATATCAATACACAAAGTGCTCACAAAAACAAAAGTACAAATGTTTTTCCGACTTCAGAATCTAAGAAGCGTAGTGTATTAATGCCACAAAGCAATAATAACTCACGAATACAAAGTTCATGTGTTAAAAAGACTCCAGAGAAGAAAATACCAACTAGTGCACAGAAGCTAAAATCTGCAACCCCTAAGATAAAGTCAGGTATCAGAAGGTTTACTCCGGGGTCTAAACCAAGTCATAAGAAAACTCCCCAGAAAGCTGCCATACAGAACAGAGACAGAGTAAGAGTGGAGTTGTTTTCACAAAATCCTAAAGATGAGCCGCTGTGCCCACCACCACGGCCAGAGCCAGCCCCTGCACCTGCACCAGTGCCAGAGACACCACTGAACAGGAAGGCGATGCCTGCTTCTTATGTCGCGACACCATCATACCCACAGGGAGTGGTGAACAACAGTTCAAAGATATTATTCAAAACAACTAGTATAAAGGATAAGAAGTACATGTTTATTAAAAAACTGGGCACCGGAGGATCTAGTGAAGTGTATAAAGTAAGTAGCTTAATGCATGTATTGTATAATTATTAAGTTTAACATATTTTATTATGAATATTTGAAGCAGAATTTTACTAATAAGACTTTTGAATGACACATTATCAACTTAACATTATGATACGGTATTGTGATAAGGTGTTATCAATGTGTGCTGTTTGCCGCAGGTGTTAGAGGTTGGCACCTCATGTGAGTATGCCGTGAAGTGTGTGTACCTGGCCACGGACCACGAACTGGCACAAGGATACATCAACGAGGTGCGCCTGCTGAGAGAACTGCAGAACTCAGACAGAGTCATCAGACTATTTGATTAGTAAGTTATCATAAACTGTTTGCACAATTGGTTATTCATAAACTTCTCTAGTCTTAAAAATTACTACAAAAACTTACTTATAGAAAAGACTGCTAAGCTAAAAGACCAATAAAGCATATTATGCTGCTTTATTGGTGTTTAGTACCCTTAACCGACGAGCATGCATGAAAAGATTGATGACTGTTAATGAAGCGAAAGAGGTATGTAAGAATTGTGGTAATTGGCGTTCCTTAGTCTCTGCCTACCCCCATGGGAGACAGGCGTGAAGTTATGTATGTATTGGTGTTTCAGCTTGCTTCTAGACTTCTGCTTGCTTGCTTCTTATTGGATTCTTTTTCTTATTTTTTTTGCGTTTGCCAGGACGCAAATTTTAAAATTCTCATGATAAATTAGGAAATAGCAAAATATTGACTTAATATTGTTCATTGCAGTGAGTATGACCGCACCAACCAGTTCCTGCGCATGGTGTTGGAGGTGGGCGAGACGGACCTGTCTTCGTTCCTGAAGGCGCGCGGCGCTGGTCTCCCGCCCGCGCTCGTGCTGCACTACTGGGAGGAGATGCTACATGCTGTACATTACATACATGAACATGGTCAGTCAGTTTTCTAGAAACCTATTAATGCATTTCTTCAGTTTTTTCTCTATTTGTCTAAAGTTTTTCCTCTTCCTTACACTAGTCCTTCTTTCTTCCGAAGGGGTATGCAGAGGTGCACATTATTAGGGCACTTAATGCCACTGTACAATGTAACACCCACTTTCACTTTTAATTATGTTATGATTCTCATGTACCAGGGGGTGACCCTATTGCCTTATACTGGACACGACTCCATGCTTCTATTCATATTTTTTTTAAAAGCCCAATAAACTTTGCCCTACCCAGGAATCGAACCCGAGACACCTTGCCTGGCAGTCGCACTTGCGACCACTCTGCCGATGAGGCAGTATATTGTAATAGTGGTAGTATATCTCAATTATCTATTTAGTTACTGTCATTTATGTTTACAGGTGTTATCCACGCAGACTTAAAACCCGCGAATTTCCTGCTAGTGTGCGGGAGACTGAAGCTGATAGACTTTGGTATTGCATCAGCCATCAGTAGCGACGCTACCTCTGTAGTGCGCTCGCAGGCCACGGGTACTTATTCGTACATCAGCCCTGAGGCGCTCATGGGCGGCGCCGGCGGGTATGGCGTCGCTAATGGCGAAGGCAGCGCTCCCATTAAGGTAATAAATATCAATTATATTGATGGTTCCAGTATCATTATAAACTCGTTGCTAATACTTTCCCTAGATTGATAAATTTTTTTATTAACCTTACTGTTGTTATAGATTTCATTCCGATCGGACGTGTGGTCGCTAGGCTGCATCCTGTACAGCATGGTGTACGGGCGCACCCCGTTCGGCCACATCCCCAACCTCGCCAAGCTGGCCGCCATACTCGACCCCAACCACCGCATTGACTACCCGCCCGTAGAGCGTAAGTTACATATCAGTCGTTCTTAACGTCATCTTGAATAACATTACGCCTTTTAAAGGGGTGTGCATGATTATGATGATTATGCACTTTTTGTCAGTGTACAGTCCGATGTAATGCATGCTTATTAATAATACATGGTTCTAGTAACCAATAATCAGTTCCACCAAAAAACTGCCTACTAGGACTTCATAAAATAGTAAGGCTGGTTTTAGTGTCGGCCGTCAGCGCTAACAACCGAGATGTTTGAACTTGGTGTTCAGCGCTAACCACTGTGCGCGCTCATAGTTAGTGTATTAAAAGTGAATAACGCCCGAATACAGAAATGCTCAATTTCAAGTTGTATGAAAATATCGTGCCATTTTACAATGAATTTGTAGTGACAGAGCTATACATATGTGCGTTTTAAAATTAAGTGGCGTTTGAGTATTTGGACATAAGAAATGTCTAATGTTATTCAAGAATGATTACTACTGTTTCTACTATTCCTAGGTACAGACTTTAACTTACTTCTTATAAGATTATGAAGACTTAGTACTATAGACTAATTATGATGAATTTTTGCTGCAACTAATTGGTTGTCTACTGGTTCAAATTGACAAAGTCAGTGGAAAAGTCGTGCCTCACTTTCGAAATTCGATAAATTTGCTGGCGATAACTCACAGCTAACAACTAGTGACTAACCTAATTAAAGTTTATTTATTATCAGATCTGTCCTAACATTCTCGTATTTATTCCCTCAGACCTCCCTCCATCACTGATCGCGGCGCTGAAGTGGTGCCTGACGTACAACGCGCGCGCGCGGCCGTCAGTGCGCGAGCTGCTGTCCATTCCATACTTGCAGCCGGCGCGCGGCACGCTGCCGCAGGCGCTGCTAGACAAACTGCAGCCACTCGTCACGCCAAACGAATTCAGACTACTACAGAGGGCGCAACTGTAGTATCATACTACAGTTTTTGTGTAAAATTTAAACTAACTGAAAATATTCATACGGCTTACTCACGTGTCTGATTGGCTGAGCTACGTTTCGAGTCAAATGTTTCCCGATGTGATTCAAAAGTATTGTCAGGCGTATCCAGCCAAAGCACAGAATATGTAAGTAAGCTAAATTAAGATACTTATTGGTCACATTGTGTGACTTTTTCAATCACACGCTAATGGTGATGATAACTAACTTCATAGAATTAGATCTCGCGATCTCAATAATTCTTCCAATTTGGATATTATGCTTAGTACTTGATTTCGCCCGTAATTTAGGCACGAATATAAATAGTTAAAAAATTATCTTCTATCATAATTAAAACAATAACATTGTAAATATAATACATTGTTAGTGCAGGTAATTTTAACTAAGATGGCGTGATTACATCAGCGTCGAATAATAATTAATTAATATTGTACCAAAATGTAAATATGTAAAAATTTCAATATCCTTTGACATTATAGATGACTTAATTATCTTATATTTCGGCTTTAGCAAATAACAAAATTAATATAATTAGATATATTGTTGCTGTATCTGTATTGAAGAGTTTATATATATATGTGTGTGAAACTTGTATGATAAAAACAAATAATGTATTACAGATAATTTATTACATGAATAATGGACTGTATCATGGACCATGAGTTTTATTTGAAAATAAACAATTAACTTTGGGAAAAAATATTTATTGAAAAGATAAAATTGTTAGAGGATACAAAAAATAAATAGCATCTTAGCACAATTGAATAAATGAATAATAAAATAAGATTTATAAAATTTAGCTTATAACACTATCTAGCAAATTATTGATTGTTATCAATGCAATAAGATCGACATGAAAATTCAAAGAGAATTACGGAATATAAAACGCGTGTATCTAGACAACACTGACATCAAGTCGTAGAGACTGGCAGCTTCGTATTTCTCTGCTCTCGCATCAGAGAAAAGGAATTCTAACCCTTACTACGCATACACAAGGTACGGAGCGACTACACAAGTAGCGTCACGACATGCTGCGACACTCGTGCGGCGCGACTTGCTCGACTACGAACACAAGCACATACTTCCGACACGACGACGCACTGACATCAGCTGATACTTTTACGACTCTAACGCTACGCAACACGAATTGTTAAAATGCTTTTTTATTCAGTCTATAATACTTTTGGAATAATTAGACATTGAATAGTGCTATAAATATAGAAATAGGAAAGCTGATCGCGCGACCGACCGCGCAGTACTCACGTGTGAGGTGGGACACGGCACAAAATCAAAAACAAATGTTCTTTTTCTGGATTTAATGCGTTAAATATAAGCTAGCAGTACTGCGCGGCGGCGGGCGAAGTGCGCAGTGCGTGCTTAGTTCTGGAAGAGTGTGCGCGTGAAGTCTATGTAGTCTAAGGCGTTGGGTATGGGACGCTCCGTCTTGGAATCGACGAAGGGTTTCATGCGAGCCACGCAGTAGTCCGCCATCTCCTTGGTGAGGTTCTGTGAATGACACAACATGTTAGTAGGGCATTCACAACGAAATATCGTTATAAAAGTAGAAACGCTACTTACGGCATATAGCTCGTCCTTGGTGACGTAGGAACGGTCCTGGTGCGCCGTGATGGCTCGGAATGCATTCTCTATCTCCTCGGACGAATGTACATTCTCAGTTTCCTTACTGATCATGAACGCCATGTACTCTTGGAGGGATACTTGACCATCGCGATTCGGATCGACCACATCTGCAAGGAAATATGATTATTAATATTATGAGTCACCTAATTTGAACTTCATTTCTGGTTATGTTTGGTGTTATTGACTTACTGAGTATGGCTTCAAATTCAGGATCAGGTTGTCCCTCTTCAACCATAGGCAGGTCGTACCCGAGGGCTCGCAGACAGGACTTGAACTCGTGGTGGTTGAGGCGACCAGAGCGGTCCTTGTCGAAGTGCTTGAACATCATCGAGAACTCCTTCAGAGCATCCTCGCTTACACCTGAGAAAGGAAGAAACGAGTAATTTTAATTTTAAATAAATTCGTCTTAAAAACCGATGTATGAAATTAGTCCTCAGTTCTGTACATACCGGAATGGTTCCTGGCCTGTATCTGTTGCTCCAGGTTATGCTGCATGCGCATGGAGAGCTGGTCGAGCTGGTCCCACTGCTGGGCAAGTCCCACTGTGCTGTGTTCCGTGTATCTGTTGTCCAGAATCAGGTGCTCTTCTAGTGCGGCGCCTACAGACAAAATGTAAAATATATTCGACTGGAAAAAGATATCGATGGCTAGAAACGTTTTTCAGTATTTTGTAATGTCGCCAGCTCATCGTTTTCCTAATCAACAAAAAGAATCTGTAATACAATCAAGTCGAAAGTCTGTTCCATACGGATTGGTAAGCCTGTCATACAATGCTCCACCCACCTAATTCTTCAAGGCGTCGTAGATCCACTCTGCGCGCGCGCACCTCCCCGGCACGTTGGCGCAGGATGGCCAGCTGTTGCTCCAAGGAACCTGTGCCCTCCATCATTGATGTACTAGAGGAAAAAAATAATTGATTAAAAACGAGAATTGATGGAAGGAAGGTCTTTTTAGAAATTGCGGAAAATTATTGTGACTATAGACACATTGAGGAAAGTCAACGACACAAATTCAAGCTTATGAGAAGCCGATTAATGTTCTCAGGAACATTAAAGAATTATACAAGTTTACGACACAAAGATTCAGAATTATATTGAATTTTACAATAAAAAGTTAATAAAATTCCGTGGACTCTATTCTCATTAGAGTCTTAAAGTTAACATCAAAATGATAAACATTGAATGAATGATTTGAATTAAAACATTAGATGTGTTTGTCAACTCCAATTAGTAATTTTGAAGAGAATCTTTAATTCATTAGTAGATAGTAATTCTATGTATGTTCGTTTACGTAACATTATTTGTTTTACGGCAGAGATTTTAAGCCAATCGTTAAGCTGTATAATACAGAGAAACATCGAGGACGTAATGTGCGTACAACGATTGTTTTGGCTTGGCAAAAGTTAAAACCCCCCATAATTTTAATTCTTTTGAAAGGATCTGCTGGCAAATGCTTCCGTAATTATCTAAATACAATAATAGCGGGCCACAGAGCTGTTCTTCCTCATGAGCAGCGGTCGCGTCGCGCAGCTCACTGAACTGGCAGAACCCCTCTGTGGTTCGAAACTAGTAAAGCTTTTCTCAGTATAATCAAGTGAGTAACCCGCGATTTTAGTTAATTTAGTTTGTCTCAAGATAGTTGTTATAAAAACATAAAATCGTATTTTCAAATGACATAATATTATGAAAAACTTAAAAATTCCCTTTGCCAAGTCAAGAAGTGTTTCGTTTATACAAGTTTAGTATGCACGCGACGTTCTGAATACTTTACCCGTCCCAGCCTAGCAGCCGGTACCTGTACACCAAGCAACATGTCAACACCTCTATACCGTACTATTTTGAAAATAGGTTTATTTTTTCAGTGTTTTTAATTTGTTAATTTCGAATTTTGTCTACAGGGGTAATGGAGTCCTATAATGAATATAACTATGTTTTACTGCAATTGTGCATCACACGTTTTTCCATATTTAAAATGCCATTGTATATATTTCTTGCATTATGAGACAGTACATTGGACCTAGACACAAACATCTGACCCAGACAGACAAATGGTATAAACTTTTTGTAGACTTATAACCGAATATTGAGATGCTCCTCAATTTCAAGTATAAGTCTGTCACAACAAATTCTTTGTAAAATGACAGAGATGACACGATGTTTACTACAACTCAAAATTAAGTAGCCTTTTAGTATTCAGGGGATAGTATCTTTATGCCATCCGCCATTAATGACTTTGGTTCGATTATTTCACCATCATCTGGGTGCTTACTCTTGAAACCAATCTCAATGTCAATGCAATTTCAATCCATTCAATAAAAACTCAATAATTATTCAATGTCAACACTATACAACCACAATCGAAGCAGTTGATATAGCATTCAGAGTACGGAATATAAAGACAAACTCAATACCATTTAGTTCATTAAATATCCACGCAATACGGATGCAATGGGCGCTAGTGTTGCAACTCGAGAGTACGAGATTTCACAATACCAATGTCGATCGATCGGAATTGGATTCAACAGTAAGCCCCCAGGTCATAGATTCTACGGCTGTTTGTAAGGGCAAAGTCCGTGTATTTATAGTAACATACCGAGTCTCAGTGAGCCACTGGTGGAATGCGTTGGCATGTTTGGCGAACTCCTTGCGCAGTTTGTCGTTCTCCTCCTGGCGGTGTGCCTCCTTCGTCAGCTCGACGTCGCGCTCAGCTAAATAATGCCATTCATTAAAATTTTGCAGTTTAATAATTGTGTGAATGTGATTGTAAAACTAAAATTTTTATTCTTTGAATTATAATCTCGTCTATCACGCAAAATTCACTGCATTTGTATGTTGTGTGTTATCTAAATTTTACACAAACTGTAACTTTTTTATTTTTGCCTGTGTAAGCAGTAGGTAACAAAGATAGTTTACTATAAGTTTTCAATAATATAACAGTTTACCGATGATCTTGCGCAGATTCCTCCAGGTCTCTTCGAGAGCTTCCATCGTGAACCAGGTGTAAGGGTTGGCGCCCACGTTGAACGACTTGATCTGCTCGTCCAGTGCCGCCAGCGCTTCGAAGTCGCTTTGTGCCGATGATAGGGAAGCCTACAATTAAAAAAGATTTATTATACACGAGGAAAATGAAACGAAAAGTGTGAAACGGTCAGGAAATAAAGGTGAAAATGTATAAACATAAAGAAGGGCGGACTTACTTGGAATTGCGCATGCGCATCCCTGAGCGCTCTGATCTCCTCAATGGAGTTGCAGCGCACTGGGTCTGTAAGGTCCTCCTCCGCGTTCTCGAACCATGAGTTGAAGGCTGACGCCTAAACAAAGACAATATAGCAT